TTTTCATAAAATAAGTTAATTAAACATAGTATATTTTTACTTAGCTGTGAAAATTCAGTCATCGTTTATCTAATCTATATTCTATTTGATACTTTTCCTGAAACATTTTTTTCTGAAAACTGCATTAGCAGTAGTGTCTATGAATAAGCTTATTTTAAACAAACTTACAAACTCTAAAAAGGGAAATTATTAGGTTTTTAACAAAAAAAAATGCCAACAGGTAACTGTGGGCCAAACAGAAAAAAAAATTATAATTTTTTACTTTTTTTTACGCTCATAATTTTCTGACGTCTCGTCTAATGGGGAATATGAAGTTTCGAAATTCAAAACTAATTCCTTCGCCTAGATATCGCATCAAATGTAGTTTTCATAAAGAAATGGTTTTTCGAGGCCTTTTGTTGTACATTTTTCAAAAATCTAATTCATAAGTACATTGAAAGATAGAGCGACATTCTACTAAACATTATAGCTAGTACAAGGTAATATCTTTATATCATATACATAATTATGTAATAATGACTATAAATTTAATAATTAAGTAAATGTTTAACTTTAAGCGCACAGAGAACCAGTAGTTTAAATAAAATTTAAACCGGAAGACTAGAGTCCAAAATTTAGAGCATCAGTTATTTGGTTAATAGGAAAAAGGATGCGTGTCCAGTTATAATTTAAATGGCTACAGACAATGTATTTGTAAATTAAACAGAACAAATACTTTGTGGGTTTTATAAACATTTGTAACACTATGTCAACAAACGGAAAATGTACACTTATAACAATGAATTAGGATTGTTTTAGCAGGATAACTAAGTTTGGTAACAATAATGATTATCGTTGTTTTTTTCCTATTCATAAAGTATAATATATAATCTCAATAAATTATATAGATAGTACATTTATTTATTAAAATCAATAGTCATATCAAAATAATAATTGAGAAAGAAAAACTATACAATTATAATAATTTGTTTAAGCTATTTTTTACTTCAGTTTGAGTTTCTTTCAATAGAATCAGAAAGACTAATCCGATATTTATTAAATATTATACTTATATGTTATTAGAAAAGAACATTTTTTGGACTTTCAGATGATTTTGTTTTGTTTTACGCCAATGTATTTCATTTCATTAATTTCGAATATAATATGATCATGTTAGGCTACGATAAGGAAATTATTGACCTAGCCAAATTTGTAATTGAAAATCCTGATGTAACAGTAATCCTGTCATATAAGATATAAGTACTCCTTGGTGATAACCAAGGAGTCCATTGATATCAATTTCAAAACCGAAGACCAAAATTTCGATTTTTAATAATTTTTTTCGAACGGTATACCTGATATTGATTAATTCTAATATATATATTATTTTAAGGAATTTACAAACACTATTACATTATGCTTTGTTCGACTGAAAAATAGGAATCATCAATTTATAAATACTGTATTAATTAAATTATTCTTAGAAAGTTTGGGGAAATTTTACGATGAATCCCAAATTAATAATTATATTCACAAGAATCCTTGTTGTATACAAAGTGCTGTTTATAAGGTTGATGATAAAATAATCAGTTAGAGAATTTGCTCATAACGTATTATATACGTTTAGTTCATTTACGTAGGTGATGTATGACGTCTGTGTTATAATTTATTAAGTTAAATTTAAAAAAATAATAATTTGTGTATTCAATAATGCATTCCATTCTATGATAAATTCTTCATTAAATAGTTTGCAATGTTTGCATTTTATATTATTGATATGTATACTAAGTTCTTTCAAAGCAATATAGTATGGTAGTGACGTAGCGTTCAGTCTATTTCAATTTTCAAAATGATAATATGGCTACGAAGTAAATGTTAAATTTACTATAAATATTTGTGACTTATACTATTGATCTTGATCAGTAGAACTACTCCTGTCTCCTAATAATAGTAATATTATTATTAGAAAGAAAAAAAATGTTTATACGTTTTGTCAGAGACGTATAATTTAGGTGAAGCGGGACAATCGCCCTAGGTACCAAATTGTAAAGGGGCGCCGCGATTGAAAAATAAAGTTAAAAAAAATAAGGTATTATTGGACGGACTAAGCTTTTTTTATCTGATAACCTTTTTTTTTTAAGTAAACCACTGATGTATAAAAATTAATCAGCTCCCCGACGATTTTTTTTAGGGGAAAAAAGGAGACTAAAAAGTTAAATTGGAAATTTTAATTATATTTACAGCTTATTAAGAACCAGCAGATTTTAAATGTTGATTTGGATTTATCCAAATAGGAAAATTAATTAATGGTTATTTTTGAAAAAAAAAAAACAAATAATAATGGTTATAAATTATAAAAGTTTATTTGAATTAGGAAGTTACGTATTTTGTTTACAATTATATCCACACATCAGAGACAGTGGAGAATGATTGTTTAAAAATAACGAATGTCAACAACACAAATTGAGATTAAAGATATTTTAAGTCTACATTCTACATACCAAGTATAAAACTACACAAATAACTTTTATAAATTAGGATCAACGTGTTATAAAAAGAAAACCATATAAATTATAATGTATTTTTTATTTTGTTATAGGTTATTCTCGTTGTTTTGGTGAATTATAAATTATAATAATGTAGAAAATTGAGTAGTTCAAAAATATAAACAGCATACAGCTCATAGTTAAAATAATTAAATAATTTTAATTTGAAAAAAATATAAAATTTATATTTATAATTTATAATTATCTGGTACCATATCAGTTGGGCTTAATGTCTTAATGTCTTAAAAAAAATCTTGAAAAATGCACTATAAAAATGTATTTAAATTTATTCATTATAACTTGAAAATTGAAAAAAATGTAATAATGATGCTACAAAAGTGTATATTTTTTTTATAGTATTGTTCATTGTTACTTGTTTAGTTGAATGATCTTCTATTTTTTCTTAATCATTAGCGGGAAGGCATATCTATGATAAATTATTTGTAATCAACGATAACTTATCGACTGTCGTTTAAAATAATTTATTATTAGTAGCGATGGCAGTAAAGTTCTTCGAAAATCTCTTTTAGCAACAATATTCGTTCATTTTATGAAAAAATTGTGAAAAATGTTCTAAAAATTAAGAAAATGCACTAAAATTGTCAAAAATGCCTTTAAATGCATTTAAAATCAAATAAGTTAAAAAATGCAAGAAGATGCAAAAAAAAAAATTACTTTAAAATAATCATTATCACCCAAAACACATATTTTTGTACTTACTAATCAACGTTTTGAAATACAAGAAAAAAAAGATGCCTTTGCATCAAAATCTCAACCCTACTCATCAGTAAATACACATTTTGTAATACTTAAAGATTAAAATATGTATGTAAATAATCATTAATCATATTAAACGCATTACACGTTTACTTCCTATTTGAATATTTTTTAAAAACGATAAACTCATGGAATTCCAAGAGTTCTTTGTGCTGTTTATAAAAATGTAAATAAATTGGTATACTTCTTTGTTCGACACAAACTAATATAATATACTATATAGAATATAGATATATCGAACTACTAAGTAGGTACCTCGTACTCTCACACAGCTGAATAACATGTAATATGTACCTAATTATAATAATACAAATTATAGATATATATTTTCATTTCAAATATCAAAAATAAGTAAGTAAACATGAGTACCTAATTTAATATTATTATTTAGGTTATCATATTTTGTCTTTCAATACTTATTATACTCAATTTGTCATTCGTCCAATCTAAAAAATATGTTTAAGTACCTATTGATAAAAATCTATTCACTCAATATTTATAGGTATAATGAGGAATATACACCAACTAGACTAAAACTTTATATTAGTAATTACAAGTTAAAAAAATATTAACATTAATATATAGGTACCTATTGCCATTTAAAAATCAAAAGTATATAGTATAAGTTTTTGGGTGATATTAAAAGTTTTAAGTTATATGTCATTTTTAAATATCACTATTATTCAGTGGTGTATCCAGGGAAGCACAAGGGCCATTATTGGCCTTATTTGCTATTTTTTTTTTTTTTTTTTTAAAGATTTATTGATTTATATTGTTTATTTGTATACATCAGGAATGGACAACTGGCGGCCCGTGAACCTTTTTTACTCTTTTATCTAACTTTTGATAAAATTTTAGACTGCAATGTGTGCCTTTCTTTTAAAAACAATTTTGGATATGCAACTGCTATTATTTATTATCTTCAAATAGTTATACAATCGAACGCGTATAAACTACGCCATTCATACCTTTTTTAGTGTTAACTCCACCTGAAAAGAAAATCAGGTACAGTGAAAACTGTATAATGCGGACCCTGAATAAAACGGAAAACTATCCAATATTTAAATATACCTATATATACATAATACATACATATATATTTTACATATTTTGTTAATTTTAGCTAAAAAAGTGCATATTTCATTGGTTCTACACGCATATTATGTATACATCATATTTTTCTAAAAAACTGATTTTTTTTCTTTCTTAACCTATGTGTTTCAATTAATATTGAATATAAAATTCAAAATTTTCAACGAAAGTATTTATTATAATTTCAAAAATACTGAAAAAATATTTTTAATTTTATTTTCAATTCAATAAGATGCCATAATGCCAACCAATTAATTATAAACAGTTTTTATGTATATTATTATTTTATTAATTAATTAATTAACAACATCTAATGTATTTTTTTTTTTTTATTGGAGTTCAAAATAACTTTTTTGCATATTTGACATCATTTTTAATGCATATTTATTATTTTGTAATTTGTTTGTGTATATTTTGCATTTCTTAGCTCTTATAACTTCCGAGCTTTTGTAATTACTAATTTGTATACATTCTTATCACTTATCAGTATTATCATATTTTAAATTTAATTTATCAAATATATTATACACCTTTGTGCACTTAGAATGCTTAGATAGTTATAAACTGAATGTCTGTACTTTTTATCAATATTTATTATTGATTACGTATTCCTTTAGTTTTTACTTCTTTCTATTTTACTTTTTTACTGTTAAGTTGAGTAGGTAATAAATTTACTAAATTTTCTTTTTTATTTGTTTATTAAAATTATGATTCCTTAAATTTTATTTGAACTATTAGGTGTATAATATTTGGAACATGAGCAAAAGGAAGGCTCCAAGTGATTTTACAAATCCAAATCATGATTTTTGTGAATTTTTAACTGGTCAGTACCTAAAATGACTTACAAAATTAAACAATAATAATTTAGGGTTTAACTCTGGCTTTTAGGTCTGACAAAAAAAAAATAAGAAAATGACCTAAAAACCAGAGGTCAGTCAAATTTTGTTTTATTTCAATTTAATTCAATTAGGTTGTTTATAATATTCTATTTGTTTAGAATTAGCTGATTATGAAAAAAATGTTGCTCGTAATATATATAAGTGCAATGCTTATCGGAGAGCAGCAAGCACATTAGCTAAGTACGGTAAACGTATAAAGTCAGGCGAGGAAGCACAAAAACTTGATGGAATTGGTGATAAAATATCCAAGAAAATTGATGAGTTTTTAGGAACAGGAAAATTGAAAAAACTGGATGATGTATAATTTATATTTAAATTTATAAATTATTTAATATAATAATGTTTTAAAATTTAATCATTATTTTACATTTTTAAATCACAGATAAGAACTAATGAAGTTTCAGTTTCTATAAAAGAATTAACAAGAGTTAGTGGTATTGGGCCAGCTAAAGCAAAAGAATTATATGATTTAGGTATTACAAACATTGACATTCTGTTAAAACATCAAGATAAATTAAATCATCATCAAATTTTAGGACTGAAGTATATTAATTGTATTAATTATTTACTTTTAATGTATTATAATAATTTGTCAATATGTTTAGATATTTAAATGATTTCGAGGAAAAAATACCTAGAAATGAAGTTATTGAAGTAGAAAAAATCATCAAGAAAACATTACATAATTTAGATCCTAAATACAAAGTTACTATTTGTGGCAGTTACAGGTTAGTAATTAAAATTAGTTAAATTACAAAAACTCTATGTAAGAAATAAATCATAATAATACATTTTATAATTTTTTTTTTTATAAAAAATATTACTATTTTTGGTTTTTTTAAAAATTTTAGACGTGGTAAAGAATTTAGTGGAGATATTGATACTTTAATTTCTCATCCATCGTTTATGTCTCATGATGTTAAGAAAAAAAGTAACAAATTGCAAGTGGTTGTAGATATTCTAAAAAAAAATAATCTCATCACTGAAACTATATCGTTAGGGGATGCAAAGTTCATGGTAATTGTTTTATTACTATTTATCAATTATTAATCTTTTAATATTTTAAAATGCTGAATATAAACTTTATTCAGAACATAAAATTAGTTTTATACAATAAAATAGAAAATAGAATTTATTTTATGTTAAAAAGACTTTATTATTTATTAGGTATTGAGTATAGATTAGTCATCACTTCTATGATTATTATATTATAGTATTGAGGTAATAATTTCATAAATAAATAATTATTTAATAAAAATTAATTGTTTAGACATTTAATCGCATTCTTTCAGAAATATTAAATTTATAGTTATAAATTGTTTAGAACCATATTTTTAACGAAAAAAGAATTTAAAAAAATTTACTGATTAATATATTAGGTAACTATCTCAGTATTTTAATTTTAATAATATTGTCATTTCTGATTTTTACTAATTTAAAATATATATGAAGTGTATGAGTTATTATATCATTTATATCTGTTTAATAGTTTTAATTAAAATTAGGGTGTATGTAAAGTGAATCATGTATCAAGAAGATTAGACATTCGGCTAAATCCATATGATCAGTTTTACTGTGCTGTTCTTTATTTTACTGGAAGTGATTTGTTTAATAAGCAAATGAGAGATCATGCGTTGCATCAAGGTTTTACACTTAATGAATATACTTTGCGACCAATTGGTTCTACAGGTAAAACATTCAATTACTTATTAATAATTACTACTAAATATAAGCTATTATATCAATAAACAATTGTATTCATGTGTTCTATCATTATATCAGGTATACCAGGTGAACCTGTAGAGATAAACAGTGAAGAAGATATTTTTGATTATTTAAATTATCCTTATAAAAAACCTGAGGAGCGCAATATATAGTTTTACTTAATATAATACAGTGTAATAAACTTTATTAATTATTGTATTATTTATTTAATGTTTTATTTATAGTATAAAGGTAATTATTTATTATTAAGTTTGAAATATTAATGTTATCTATTTATAAATTAATATTTTTTTTTTTTTTTGTTTGTTATTTTTTATACCTTGTTACCGATTTACGTTTGGATTTTTTATAAAAATAATCTGTGTGTACAGGCAAAATTTTAAAACTACTGGAATCTACGATTTCACCTGTAAAATTAGTACATCTAATTAATAGTTTAGGATGGTTACAAAATAAAATTTATATGTGTATTTAATTGTCTAATAACCTAATCTAACCATGCTGCTTCAATATTTTTTCTGAGATACGATTCACTTCTTATAGTCATTCCAGTGACACTATGTAAGTTTTGTGTCATGTATAATAATAATAACTATATATATTAAACAATACTTAAATTTTCAATTAAACCTCCCAAATGAAAAGCGATTGGTTGATCTAAAACTTAAGCAATAGCCAATAAGAATAAAATGTATCACGAGCTTCAGAAACAGACAATCAGTGAGAAATATCAAATAAGACTGGAAACCATTTGAGTATACACAGCTCATTCCAAACAGATCAGCTGATTAAAATATTGGTGCATTCCATTAATTACAATTATGGTTTTCATGCAATTGTAGTTTATTGGGAAAATGGATAAATCATGTCTCTAATGTAGTAGTAAAAAAATAGATGAATAATATCATCAAAAATACATTTTGAAATGTATACTGTTACCACCCATCCCATCATTTAAATTATCAGATAGATATGTCATTCAAAGACTTGCAGTTTCTAGAGCAACTCACCTTTACAATGAGCCAATGATCTTCAACAAAGTATCAGGGACAATCGCTATAAGTTTGTGAACTAAAATTGGATCATCCATGCTTCTTACTTAGTCAGTGTTATGTGGGCAGCTCACAAGTTGGAAAACCTGCTTTATTTATCTATGCATCAGATTGAAAAACTAAAAAAATTTAACTTATTTAAAAGCATTTCAATATTAGGTTATAAAATTAAAACTCCACCACAAAACTTAAAAAGTTACTTTTTATATTCACATATCTCCATTTTACGTTTTATTTTTATAAATTTATTAGGATTAAACAAAAATTTATTTTAGTTTAACACTATTTCTACATTTTTATTTAGCTTATTTAAAAATAATATTTTTAAATCATTATACTTCTAATTTATGTAGATCCGTTAGCGCCCATTGTTGAAGGGGCGAAATAGAATATTTGCCTTTCTTCTGGAAAAATAATTTCAACTAAAATGAAATAATATTGAACTTTTGTTTAGCTTATACTTGAGAATTTTTTTATTTTGCTCTTCCTCCTAAAATGTTACTTGTGAGCGCCCATGCGAAAAGTTTTATTCATGTCAAGATTTTAGGATTGGATGGACTTGACTCTTCAATAATAAATAACAATTAACATTCATAAAACTACTTTTAATGAACCGAACAGGGTTAATTATATTAAATATGAATAATATAATTATTGTGAAACGAAAATACTATTTAAAGTTGGTTTGGCGCGCATTTGTCATACGTCTAAGATAACTGTGGTAGTGGTAATGTTAAATTAAGTTAATTTACCTAACCATATAAAACAGTTAAGTAGATGAGTACCAAGCTAAACACTATAACAATTTACTATTTTTTTAATATTTTCGTGATACTTTTCTTAGAATAGTATGCAATATGCATAGAGTAATAATAATAATATTACTCAATGATAGTATGTCACAAAATTAGATAAGATTTTATTTTTTGTGAAAGAAAAATAATGTTTTGTATTGTTGATAATATGTCGATTGTAAACAGATTTATATTAGTAGTGAACATATCACTTATATTGTTACATTAATGTTTTAATTAAAACAAACATACGTTTAGAGCTGAATCAGACAAGTATTTATTTTTTGCATGTAATATGTGCATAATATGTGTTAATGATAGTTTATTCACCAATGTTATTGTTTTGATACCAATTTTATAATTAACAAACAGTTACTTAAATTATTATACTACAATGGGGAAAAAACAGGTTGCTCAAAGAGTCAAAAATAATTACAAAGTAAGTTGGATTGTTGTTAATGTGGTGGAACAGTGAAATGTTGGTATTGAAACTTAATTCTTATTTTAAATTCTTACTTATTTAGCCATCAAGCAGTGCAAGAGCTCAGTTATTGTTAAGTACAACTGATACATATGCGGTGATTCCAGATAAGCTTAAATTTCCCTTTGCTGAAATTTTGGATTGCAATGTCAGTCCTGATTTTCAAGTGGTTTTGAAAAAAATGAACAAAAAAGATTCTACTACTAAACTTAAAGTATGCAATGATGTACAGTAAAACTAATCTTTAACAATTTTCTGTATAAACAGACTGCTCCTTATAATAAAAAATGTAAATAATAGTGCTGTATGTTAAATACAGTAATAAAATTGACTTCTCTATAACAGACAAATTTATTAGTTCCAAGTAATTGATTCCTTTATAGAGAGGTTTTACTGTGTAATTAATTATTCAATGTAGATCAATAAAACTTAAGTCACATTTATCATATGTTTTGTAGGCCTTAAAAGAATTTATTTCGCTATGTGATTCTAAAGATGAAGATACTGTTAGAGAAGTTTCAGCACCATGGATTGCTCAATATGTAAATTTATGTAAAGATAATGAACCACGTATACGTGAAGGTACTCAGAAAGCTTTGAGGTCCTACTTAAATCGTGTGCAACGAAATGTAGCACCATTTCTAAAAAGATTTTTTGCCCATTGGTTTGTGGCTCAGTATGACACTCATCCGCCAACTGCATCTGTTGCATTATCTACATTCGAGGTTTGTATATTTATATTTTTATTTATATGGGTTTAAATTTGATTTCATAATAAATTGTATAATTTAGAATACTTTTCCTCCAAATAAAAGAACTGAAGTAATTGTGTTTTGTCAAAAAGAAATTTTTAATTATTTAATTGAGAACATCACTAATTCAGCATTATTAAATACTAAGTAAGTTTTTATAAATTCATGTATACATTAAAAATCTTTATATTTATGTTTTTGAAATTAAAGAGTCGATTCTGATGAAATGAAAGAAATGCAAATTAGAACTGCTACTAGTTGTTTGTATGCTACAGCAACATTTTTAAACTCGCTTCCTGTTGAACATATTGAAAATATTGAAAGTGATTTGAAATCAATGTTACTTACTAATTCTACATATTGGAAGTTAAATAAGCATCCAACACCAAGTGTATGATTTTCAATTTTATCTAGGATAATTTTATTTGTTTAAAAATTATTTTTCATTATTTATTTACAGGTTCGTCAAGCTTGGTATACTCTATTGCATTCTATATTACTTAAATTACAACGCTTTTTAGAAAGTGAATGTAAAAAGGTTGCTTTTTCTGTGTTTGATAATATTGATGAAGACAATGTTACTGTGTCCTTAGTAATTTGGAAAAATATTATAATTCTTCTATCAAAACCTGAGGTAAATTTCTATTGCAAATATTAGGTATATCTTATGACAAATTATTATTAATATTCTTTTTTATATAGTTAAATTACTTTTGGTCACAATCAAATGCTGAAAAAATTTTTCTTCCTAAATTATGGAAAGTTTTATCATGCTCAAAAGGATGCATTTCATCTGCATATGAAAATTTGTTAGAACTATGTAAAAATTGCCCAGTCATGATTACAATTACAACTGATGAATTTTATTTGAAGTGTATTACTTCAATTATACAAGGGTATAAAACAACAATAAGTTTTATTATTAAATCATCACATTGATTTGTGTTTTAGGTTAGAAAAAATGTCTAATCGGTTTGACCGTACCAATTTTGTTTCTGGTATTGAAACTCTTTTTGATTTTGTTACATACATTTTGAGAAATAAAAGTGAAGATGAATTGTTTAGTAACTCAGTAATTTCTGAAGTATGCACATTATTTTAAATAATATTAAAGTTTTCTTTATACCAATATAATATATTTTCAACAGGTTTTAACGTTGGTTAAGTTCAGTCTTACAGGAAAATTAGCTAAAACAATGACACCACCAGTTATTTCTCATTTGGCTGTATTCCTTGAATTTTTGACTAATAATAAATTACACAGTTTAAAAACCACAATATGGGATAATTTAAATACTCTCTTGATTGGAAGTGGTCTTGATGAAGAAATTGTTTTGGATAACATACTAGGCCAACTACAAGTACATTTAATTGTATTGAATCATTTAAAAAATCCTAAAGAAAAGAAAAAAAAGAATTTGAGAGTTACATTTGAAGAATCTGGAGAAGTGTTTCTTCCATCAAAACAGTTATTTAGTGATGACTATCAAAATGATTTGGCAAATTTTGTAAATGTGGTTTTAGAGTTCTATTTAGATAGAACTTCTTCTCCAGATATAGGTTATATGTATGTCAACCATGTGTGCCAAGTGATGTTGGCATTTAAAGATTATGGCGTTGATCAAAAATTATCTCAAACTTTACCTGGCACTGATGATAATACATCATCATTGTTCAGGCTGTATGACAGATATGTCAAAATATGGATTAATGATGAAAAAGTTTTGACTTATAACTCAATTTCAGTAATTATGGGGTTATTGGAGACCATTGATAATGATAATGAACGAATTACTATAATTGATGACTTAAATTTGGTACTTATTATTTATTTTAATAATTTGTGGATAAGGTATTTTTAACATTTTTAACTTTTTTTTTTCAGTTTGGATTAGATGTTGTACTTAAAGAAATAATGAAGTATATTAGTGAGGGAAATAATTTACCCTTGGTGATTTGCAATTGGTTAGAAACTACTCCAATGCAAGATGAATTTAAAAAATTCATTTCCTTTAATTTAGATCTAAATAAATCGAATCTTCTCACAAATTGCTTAATACTAAAAGGTGATTCTTTTTAATCTTGAATATAATAATATTGGGCATAAATAATTTGATTATTGTGTTTTTAGATAATACTGTGTGTGATAAATGGACAAAAGTACTTTTGGAAACTGTACACACAAACCCTACCTCTTCTTTAATTATTATGTTAAGACAAATATTTGAAAAAAAATTAAATGACCAATCATTTGTCAATTCCCATCTTGATCTCATTTTTAACACATTGGAGTGCTTAATTTGTACATATTTGGAAAAATCACAAGACGGAGAATGTAGAGACCAAGATGAGCTCAATCAAACTTGGAAACTTGTGTTAAATTATATGATAGATTTACATGACGATGAAATAATGAAGAGATGTAGTTTGGTTGTCACAAATTACCTACAAATTACTGAAGTTGACATAGAACATGTAGAAAGTACAGTAGATCAGTTTATTGAAGATTTCTCATTATGTACTAAACAAAATACCTTGCCAATTAAATTTTTGTTTGAGTTGATAAAATGTGCAAACAGCGTTGATCACTCAAAAGCAATTAAATGTTGTGAACTGGCATCCTATATTGACGGATCACTATTTTATACTGGAAATGTTGGAAATAATATCGATACAAGCAATGAGTGCTTTGATACTGTGTATGCGTTATATTCTCATATGTATGTGTTCACAAAACAAATTTTAAAGTTTTTCAATGAACATGAATTACCTAAACAATTGGACAATGTAGATGAAGAATTTGTCAATATTATGGCTAATATAATATGTTATGTAAATGTGGTTGTGCATCTACTAAAATATTTTTCAAATGTGAGATTATATTATTTATAAAAAAAAAAAAAAAAAAAAATAGTTTATTAACATTATTATGTATTTATTGTTATCTAAAATACATATTTTTTTTTTAATTTAGAGAAAATATTGTTGTGATATCAAGAGTGCTATTCTTGAGGATACTAAAACTAATGTTGCTGTACTCATTCAATCACAATCAAAAAATGTGGCTAATGCTATCATAAACAAAATTATGGAAAAGTATGAAGATTTTTTTTATGATTTGCTATGTATCATTTTTACATTAATTTTTTTGTTTTAATTATAGAACTATTAATGATGGTCCATATTGGTGTAAGTCATTAGAATTTGTGTTAGATATATTGTCATTGTCAAATGAAGAATTGATTAATTTGTATAATTCTGCAATGTCAAAACATAGTGACAGTCCAAATTGTATACACATTATTCAGGTAACATTAATTTACGTTATTTTATTTAGACTTAGAACTTTTAATAGATTTATTATTTAATGTTCAGTTAATCTGTAATTTCAACACCATACTTATAATGTTTATTAACTTATATGCATATAGGTTGTATATATAGTAATATACTTATTAGTTATTATATATCTATATACATTTACTTTTTCTAATAATTTGGGTGTTATTACTTTGGAAATAGTACAGTTAACTCTTAATAACTTTAACCTTGACATCTTAAAAATAAAAATTCTCTTTCAGTCATAACATTTAATTAGTTTTTGAATTTTAACAACTTTAATTTTGTTTTTCCTTGATCTTCAAATTACCTAGAATAATAGTATGATAAAAAAGTATGTAGAAATTTTGTAAAATAACAGATTTAATATTTTGCACTAGTATATATTTTTACTTATTTGTAACTTATTTTACATTCTGATATTCATGTTATAAATGATTAATAATTAGCTAACTTATTGTCAATATTATACTGGAAATAGAGCATTAAATAATTTTTACTGTATTGAAAAAATAAATGTGCTTTACCTGAATATGATTTGTTGACATTCTTTGTGTTTGACTTATGTAGGTTTTTGTGAATTTTTGTGGCATGAGCAACTTGGAGTATGATCATCTTTCATTAGCAGACACACGATGTGTTTGGAATGTGCACTTTAGAAAGACTACTAACAGTGATACAGTTTCTCAGATACAGAAAGTATTGGATTCTGAAGAAAAATTGCTCACTAATGATATTGAGTAAGTTTTGTATTTCAGTTATTTTTAGCAATTTATGATAAATGTTGATCATTGCATTTGTTCATTTTAGGTGTTTGAAGAATGAAAAAACAATAGTAGAAACCATACGTAACATTGAGTTTTTAAACTTGATCTTTCTTTACACAGATGATGCATCAATTATATTAAAATACAGCAAAACAATATTCAATCGTTTAGAATCTATCATGTTGACCCTAACCAATGTAGTAGATTTTGACTATAAAACATATTTACCCATTGGGGTTGCTACTGCCTTGGTCGGTTCCTTATTTGTAAAATTGATGAAATTTTATCATGAAGAAATTTATAAACATGTACCGCAGAGCAACGAAAACTTGATAGTATTCAGATCAGACACAAAAGTTGTACGTGAATGTTTGGTGAAGATTTGGGTTGAGTTATCAAAAAATTGTAACAGTTGTATTCATGAACTTGTGTTAGAAGCTCTAAGCAATGCCATGAATTATTTAGAATTTGAGGAAGTAGAACAAAAATATTGGTTTAGTCTTTGTTCAGGTTTGATTAATTCAGTCTATTACCCAATCGAAATCACTGCATACAATATTTTGGACAGGTATGTTGATAAAAAAAAACAATGAAATACTATTAACATGTTATTTTTATGTTTAAATTATTTTCTAATTTGGCAGATTATGCGAGGTACGCAAAGTTGACGTGGACACTGACTTTGAATCCGACCAAGTACCGTTTGAACTTTCCACGCTACCTTTGCAAAAACTTCAAGACTTGATCTGTACAATGTTAACTGATATCAAGTATTTATTTTTATTTATTGTCGATTTTTAGTTATGTTTTAGTTTTAAATTTTAATGTTTTCTTAGAATTGGAAGTACATTTGAACCTAAAACTTTTTCTGAAGATTTAAAAAATACTCGAGTTTATTTGTTGTTATGGAATGTTATATTTAAATTATGTTCAAAACTCGATTCTCAAGAACGATACAAGTACATTTCTCATTTGAAGTAAGTTATGTTCTACCCATACAATGAACAATTAATAACAATAAAGTAATACCTAAGAACACTTATATATTTTTTTTAGCAATAACGACTCAATTTCGTTTTTAATGGAAAATTTATTGAAGTTAATGCCACAATCTATCATTAAGACTTATGCCAATAATGATGTCAATCCAATTATCAAAGAACTGTTCAACATGAGACCCAGTTGTTCACCAACAGACTATTGGAACAATAAAAAAGTCTGGCATATGGTATGCTGGACATATTATAATCTGTTACACACGTTGCCAGCAGTTGTACGTAAATGGTGGGTAGACAGTGAACATAAAGTGTCAACGTTAGTTGACAAACTAACAACCAAATATGTATCGCAGAGTTTAATTGTTCAAGAATTCCAAGACATCAAACAAGCAGATAAAATTGACAATATTGTGGTATATATCATTTTGTGACATTTCCCAATGTGAACACTATAATTGATTATTGATTTTTATCACATGGTATTTGTTCAGGTGAACTTGTATGAAAATCGTGGTATACTCATTGTTTCGTACATGATAGAAGAAACGGCCGTGGACATCACCATACAGATGGCCAATAACCATCCTTTGGGATTGATTAAAGTCAGCAGTGATAAGAGCATGATTAACATGTCTCAGTGGAAAGGGTGGTTGAAACAGTTGGCACTGTTCTTTTCACATCAGAACGGTTCTATCATTGATGGTATTTATCTGTGGAAATTAAATATCACAAAGAAGTTTGATGGCGTTGAAGAGTGTTACATATGCTATTCTATACTTCACAACTCTAACTATCAATTGCCCAAGTCTGCTTGTCGTACGTGTCACAAAAAATTCCACAGCTCGTGTTTAGTGAGTATTCGGCTAATATTTAATATAATACACACATATATTTATATATGTTTATAACATATTTACTATAAACCACTTTATAAACTCTGTATTTTGTTTTCTTACTTGTTATTTAATATTTCTGATTGGTTTGTTTTTCAGTATAAATGGTTTGTTACAAGCAACAAGTCTACATGTCCTATATGCCGTAATCTTTTTTAAGCTGGAATACTTATTGGTTTGATTGTTGTTGATGATTGTTGAAAAATAAATAAAAGCATGTTTTTTAAAAAATGTATTTTTTTTTTCAAAAATAGACTTAAAAATAGTTATTAACTTAACTAAAATTATACGTATAAAATAAAAAAACATGAAACTAATCAATTTATTGAACATGTGTGATTTAAACAATTCGCAAATTAATCTACATAATGGAGTGTTCCTTCTTTTGGAGGAGATGTGCCAGTGATAGTACCTTCTTGGGGAGAACTACCTTGCTGAATCCAATACGATGGTATTTGTTGCTGGGTTTGGTACGTAATTGTACCCTGTGGTTGTTGCTGTTGCTGCTGCTGTTGTTGTTGCTGCTGCTGCTGCTGTTGCTGTTGCTGTTGCTGTTGTTGCTGCTGCTGCTGCTGCTGTTGTTGTTGTTGTTGCTGTTGATGCTGTTGTTGTAGATCAGCAGCTTGAGCTGGAGTAAAAGTTTGATTTCTCATAGGATCAGGTAATACTGTGAATGTCACAGATTGTGTTCGATTAGATTCTGATATTGGAGTACCTGATCGTTGATCAGGTTCATATCCACGTCCTGCATTCAAACATGAATATATATTTATTTATGTACATATAGTTCAGAAAAATAGTTAACAAATTAAAACATAATAAATGTACATATTATATACAATTTATAAAATTATTATTTTTAAACATTGTCATTAATATTAAATAGAATAAAAATTAATTTGCTTAATATTGAATTTAATTGAAAAATACATGCTTGCCAATCTGAGTCATTATTATGGGTATTTGCCTAATTTCCTGTTATACTATATACTAGACTATGGTTATTATCATGACTAATCTTTATAATATCTGTGCTGCATTCCACTGCTCAAATTTACAATTACTTATCATTATCTTGTTTGTTTTTTTTCTGTAAATTACATTTTTTACTTGGTGATTAAAAACAGTTAAGCAATTTTACTCTGATTTTGAAGTAATAATCACACTTAAGATTTAAAATCTGATAATTTTATTAAATATTATTAGTCTTTAGTTTCTACTTAATACTGAAAAAGCAGTAGGATCATTAAAGCATAAATTTTATATTAATACACTTAGCATTTTATACATACTAAAACACTATACTAGCAATTTTTAAACTTTAGTAGAATACTTTTAGAAATTGTGAAACTTTTACCTTACTAACTTTCAACTAAATATCTTTTTTTTTTATAAAATATCTGAAATGTATCTAATGTTCTTGCAGAAATCACTAATAGAGCCATAAATGTCATATACCCTCAGGAGGCAATAGAACACAGTTTAAAAACCGCTGCACTATATTAATATTCTATTTATAATTGTAACAAAACTTAACCTTTTAACATGTTAATGCATATTATACAAAAAACTAAGTATTTGCATATATATAAAAAAAGTAGTTAATAATACTAGGGTAGTATCATATTAAGTTTTAAATGTTAATAAAGACTGATTAAATATATTTACCTGGATAAAATTGATATCTCTGTTGTTTATTTCTGTCAACTTGTTTATTTAAATCTTCTAAAAATTAATTTAAGATTACTATCTGAACTGTTAATAATTTGAAAATATTTACCTTTGGAATTCATATTTAAACATTCTTTGGATCGCGAATCACCTGAAATTAGTATTAACTCATTAGTTGTAATTAATGTTTTCAAATAAATATTAAAATTTCAAAAAATAATTTTAAAAGTCCTGTAAAAAATTAATGTTAATATTATTAATTTTCCATACGAAATCTGAAAAATAATAATTAGAATAAATGCAGCTACGCTGAAAAATAAAAATTTTTCAATTTAAGTATTATTTATCATTACAAAAGTTAACCTGTAATGTTTGAGGCACCTGTTGCTAATTGATGCTGAAAATTAGTCTGCGGAGTACGTCTCCCTGTATTTGATGTAGCTACCATACCATTAATTGTCAGTTGGCGTATTTGGTTGTCATCATTACCATCATTACTGTTGAATAAATTTATACAAATTGCAATAAAAATTAGTTAAATTAAAAAAAATATATTAAAATTAATCTCCTCTTTTTCTGAAAAATAACATGATTAGAAAAATTCCTAAAATAAAAAATGTTAATGGGTTATTTGCTGTTAAAAAATAATTAAATAAATGTATTACACGTGATTATGTACTTGCCCAGTAACTGAAGATGGTCCAGTTCTTATTATTTTAGCTCCAGTAATTCCTCCACCTTCTGATACAACCTGAAAATGATTTATGTATAGATTATTGAATTTTTTTTTTTTTATTTTTACTTGAGTTTAACAATCTAACCATTTCATATGACCGTTTTAAAGGCTGATATTGAAATTGATTGCTTTGTTGAAAATACTGAATGGACTGCTGCTGTCCTTGCTGTATCATAATAGGTTGATGGCTGTCATCTTGTTTGTAGATGACTTGTTGTTTATCTGACATTTGTGTTTGAATCAACTGATGTTGAGGTTTATGTGATTGTTGTGGCTGCTGTTGTGGAAGTGTCATTGTAACTATACCATTGCCTTGCGACTGTAAAATCTGATGAGATATTGGCAGTGACATTAACTGATTGCCACCAGGTGAAGTTGTTTGTTGTGTAAACGTCTTGCCTTGCTGTTGGAGTAACAACTGTTGAGTAGATGCTTGACTAACTTGCGACTGTAAAAGACCTGGCAAGTTTTGTATAATTTGTGGTTGAAGATTTTGGAACTGATTTAGTTGAGGCATCATCATTTGTATTTGAGCAGGTTGCCCTGGTGTCTGTTGTACAATTAATTGGCCATTAGGAATGTTTGCTGGGATCAATTGACCAGATTGTGTTTGTTGTAAATGAATAGTCTGTACAGCAGGTTGTTGAATTTCGGCTGGTGGTGGTTGTTGGTATTGCACAATCATAACTTGACCTGGTTGGCCAGAAGGTTGTTGATATTGTGCCATTTGGTTACCAAGTATGTAAGTGGTACCGATTAACCCAGAGTTGGACTGTTGGCTTAATTGAGTCACTTGACCTATATTAGGAGATTGAGCCATTTGGAATGTACTTGATTGAACTTGTGGTTGGTATGCAATAATTTGGCCATTAGATGTTTGAATATACTGAAAAAAATAATTTTGTTAGTTGATATTGAAACTACTTTTCAAAATAACTTTGCATTTACTTGAATAGGAAGTGCAGCTTGAGTCATAAATGCCTGCGTATGAGGAATAACACCATTAGCTAGTGTTGTAGGAGTAGTATGAGTTACAGATGGGGTGTGTTGAACATTTTCTAAACTTTTCTAAAATATAAGAAAATAAAAATAAGTTTATTAAATAATAATAAAAACTATTTAATATGGAACATACAGTTTGTATTGCTTGCTGCTGAATAAGCTGCTGTTGCTGTGATTGAATTGCTGAATAACTGACTGGCGTGACAGATAATGGAAGTTGGTGTTGTTGCTGATTGACTACTTGTGTTTGAATTTGAGGCATAATTGATGCTTGATGCTGACCTAAAGAAGCTATATGAGTTGGCCCCTGAGTGTTTTGTGCTGGTTGTTGTTGTTGTTGGTGACCTCCCATTACTGGTGGAGGAACAGCCATTAATTGAGGTACTAAATCATAAAATAACAACAATTTAAAAAAAAAATTTTTATTTTATTTTAAACATAATTAATCATAATGATTAATAATTATAATACGTTTTGAATGTTAGTTTATAAAGTTAATGGTTTAACATACAATGAAGTTTAAGATACACAGTAAGTTCATTACTCAATATAAAATTTAATATTAATTTAAATAAAATAAATCGTTTATAACTCTTACCAGCTTGTTGGGTAAATAACGGCATTTGAACATTAGCAACAGATGTTTGTACCACTTGAGAACCATCTTGTAATGTCATCATTCCAGTTTGTGCTGCTACTTGAACAGTTTGATATTGAGCTGCAAATATAAAAATTAGATAATTTATTTTTAAACAAATCATTAAAATATAAAATTAGATATTTACTTGGATTCATTTGTGGTATTTGACCATTATTGGTTTGAATAGTTTGTTGATGAATTACTTGTGGTTGTTGGATGTGTACATTTGATGGTTGGTGTGCAATATTGGGTGGTGGTGCAACATGATTAGATGCATATGTAGCACTATATTCATTTTGAATAGTTTCAATTAAATTGAAAGCTAATTGTCTACCATTTTGTAATACTTCATTTTTTGCATGTCTATGACAGGTAACATTGGAATATTAAGAGTCAAGTTACATTGTAACACAAATTTATAAATAATTAATTGAAATTAAAATTTGAATTACTCAACACATAGATGTAAAGGTTCAACTGATTCTTGTCCATTAGCCTCAATAAATCCAGAACCTCGTCCTCGCATAGTTACTACAGCCCCTGTTTCATTCATTATATAATGAAGATTAGCTCCGTTTAAGCCTAATATTTTATTTCTGAGGTCAAAAGCTGGAGGTGCATGGTCTAAGCCAATTAGAACTTTTTCCTATTAATTATTATAATTTTAGTTTAGATATTTAAAAAAAATTAAGTTAAACAAAATGTTTTACTTACAATTCCGGCTCCATTAATTAAAGGGCCAGATGTCAAATTCGGATGTTTAGACATATCTTTGTCTCGTTGAATAAGTGATTGGATTTTTTGAATAGCAACTAAAGTTAAAATAAAAATGTATTTTTAAGTGAACAGACTGAAATATAAGTATATAGTAATTAATAACACAATATTCTTACGATCTAAATTTTGTTTTTTTGGCCCTTTGATAAGTAAATGTAATGATCGCTCTGATGATGCTTGATTTTTTTCTTTTGGAGTTAAGTATCGTCCTCTAGTAACAATCACCGTACCTGCACAATAACAATAGAATTACGATATATTAATATACAATATCAATATTGTTAACAAAAATAATAGTCAAATAATAAATATCAATAACTAGCTTGTGGCATTGCAATGCAATTTTTGTAAATAATTTAAAAAAAAAAAAAAGTCACCTGAAAATTCTTCAATGTCATTTTGTATGGACTTGCTGGTGAGTAGTATACGATCAGTGTCTGCCAAGTCATTGATTTCGAATTGGGTTTTGAGCTGCGAAGTAGCCTGTTGAGGGGGCGCACATTGGGCCTGTTCAAGACGCAACGACATATTTTGTAAAAATTGTTTCTTGGTTTTTTGGCTATTGGACTAAGCCGGCACAAAAACTACTATACATACCTCCGGTTGGTCGCCGACCCGTTTTGCTAGAGCTGATTCTACTCGAGTTGCCATTTCCACTGCCAGCTTGAGATTGTTGGTCGGAATCGACATCATGTCGCAGCAGCTCGAAAAGATTTAATCGGAATGCGATCCGATGACAGAACGATTGGTGTTCTGAGCGACGATGATCATTTCCGTAATTTCCAAAACCGTTAGGAGTAAAAAAAAAAAACCTAAAAAGATATAGTACCTATATACAAGTTATAATATTTTTAATTTTTTAACATATTATATGCCGTTTTCAAATGCGATAACAAGACAGTAGACACTGCAACAAGCTGAAAAGAAAAACATTGAAAGATAGGTAGAATATCAATTTCCAAACGTTTCATATTGTACATACAATAATAATCTAACAAACACTTCAGCCAGTGTTACCATTCCCGCGGTATTCAGACTAATATTGTCTGGTAAAAAACGGTTTTAGGGAGCGGTTAGGTCTTAAAACAGTTAGAAGTTAGAACTGTTAGAACTATGACTAGGTAATTTTTAATAGGTACCTATTTACTAATATTATTTATTAGTATTTATCACTTACACTTATTTAATAAAATATAAACTACACAATTTGTCTTAAATTCTCCGTGGCTATCAATATTAAATTACCTACCTATCTAAACGCGGTTCTTATACTCTTGTCAACAATAATCTTAAGACACTACATATTCCATTAATTATTATGGTCATTAAATTGAAATTGTTAAGATTAACTGTCATAAAACACACATTTAAATGCATTGATGCTTCACAGTTTCACAGCGATATTTTAAACAATATTAGACTTAGGATATACCTATCTATCTAGTGTCACTATATATAGTAATATTATGTACTTCATAGGACGCTCAACTTAAGATAGGTATTAACATTACCTTAATTAATCTAGAAGATGGTCGGTACGTTGCAAAAGAAATAGGGTAAGTTTATGTTATATTAAATTACTCATCAATGGTATGATAACAGAATAGACTTACGACGGTTACTTTTATAAGTAATGCCGTACCTAATAGGTTTTGGTGTCCCACCCCAATACTGGCAATACCCCATGACAATTGTGGATGCAGCTGTCGTCGTCAGATTCGGGGGTTAGTTTTTTTCCTATAGCTTATATTTTATTGTGAGCAGTTATAATTCCACTCAATTTGTTATAGACGCATAGTATTAAATTTTTTTTTTAAGTCGACTGTAGTTGTACAAAATACAATTTTTTGCAAATTTGACAAAATATTTTATCAACATTCCAACTTCATATAAATATAAAAAAAAAAAATTTGCTTTTATTTTGAATAAGATTTTTAAATAGAAATAAGAAAAACTTATGTAGGATCACGAATTAAATTTTTAATAGTTTTTTTCAACGAATATTTTTTTTTTATGTAAAAAAATTAAAAATTTGTCATACTTTAATGAAAATGTCAAGTATTTATGGTTATTTGTTTTTAAATTAAAATAAAAAACAATAGTCATTTAAAAAGAAATATAGTTATTTTATGGGCGATATTCACCATTTTATAATTCAAAATTATAAATATTTTTCTAATAAAATTTGCCAAAACAATGAATAATTAAATAAAAAAGGGTAATATTTTATTTCGTAGTTATATTAACCTATTGACTGTTAATAGTATTTTGTTATGTAATTACTAATTACTAATCTTAAAATTATAATCAAGGCGATATCCGTCTAGTATATCGTACATAAAATTTTTAATCCATTATTGCTTTTCACACTCTATAATCGACGTACTGTCATAAGAGTTATGTTCATTCTTAATGTACAAAAAGCTATTATGGAAAAAGTTTCGGAAAACACCCAAAAAGAAGAATACAAAATAAAAACTCGATACATTTGGCATAGAGTATACATATTTTCGTGTAGGTACACAAAAAAAACCTTGATTTTTCATTCAATCATTTATTATTTGAATCACATATGTACTAAATGTACCTAAATGTTTTCAATTTAAAAAGGTAAAAACTTAACAAAAAAAAAAAAAAAAACATGGAGATCTATACTGTACAGTAAGTTTCTAATGTACCTAATATCATGATGTCGAGAGAGGTCTCTGTAATAGATAAAAGATTTTGAAAATAATATTACATATAAAAAATGATAATTTAAACACTTGGTGAAAATTTCTAATTTCTGTAATTATTCAGAATTATAAAAAAAATAAAGAAATCAATTTAATTAAAAACTGACTTAATGAGGAAATTCCCGTTTTAGCTTAATTTTTCATTTATTTTTCTTGATTATAATAAATAAATTTAATTTTGACCTCTTCAAAGTTTAAACTAGATCCAATTTGTTGTCCAAAATCATCTTTAAAGTTAAAAATTGAGTCATTTTATCGACTATTTATCGTGAATACAGACAAAACAAAAAATAAAATACACATACTTGAATACTTCGTTGTAAAATCAATACATTCATCGCTCCGCTTATAGAATCTAATCATTCATAAAGGTTCATAATAGTTGGCAGATGTGAGGTACAATATTATTAGATCAAAAACTGTTGATTTAGATTTAATTTAGAATTTCTAATGAAAATTATCTACAAGGTGATAATATAACAATAAATGCAGACGTGCAGTACATATTATAAATGTAATTATTATATTTTGAATTCAATAAATAAATATAATAGTAAAATTAGGAACATCAAGAATTTAAATAAAAATAATGGCAGAATTAATATTAATTATACACAAAATAAATCACAATTAACCTTAAAAAAATCCATAAGGTTTAATTTGAAAATCTAATTCTTGTAAAACCATTTGGTAACGATTTGTTAATAATTGTTTAAATGCTCCGTGACAAGATTTAGAACAAAAATATTGGGCATTGAAATGAGTGTGTGATCTGAAAAAAAAACTTAAGAAACATAATATTATTAATTATATTGTTAGGTCTTATGTTTATTTGCTGTGGCCATAAGTACACATAATATTTATAAATTATATCAAAGTAATATTATAGGAACCTACCTATTAATATAATATACCTACTTAAATACTTCACTAACATTTATAAAAATATGCTGAATTTAATATTTATATTTTATAGGTATTAAATTTTGTATAATATATAAAATATCTTACTCATATTGTAATAAGCACATGTAACTGTATGTGAACATAGGTCTCAAACATTGCATACAGGAAGCAGCTGGGCCAGACAACAATTGATCGCACACATTTTTGGGGACACAATCCTTGGAAAATGGCGTCTTCCAAACATAAAGTGCTCTGAGGGCAAATTCTTTCAAAGTGGGACAGTGTGCGTTTCCTCGGACACTAAACACTTCTTTAATTTTAGGTGATAGAATCAGATTACGACAGTTGCATGTCAATATTATATTCGGTAATACGTGTGCTTCCAGAAATTGTTGAGTACCACAATTTTCTGCCCTAATAACAGTAATATACGTAAAATATATAAATGGGTATAAAAAATACCTTTACGCAGGTATAAATGTAAAAAATAAATATTATGTAAAAATATGGTACATTTAATATTATAATTATGCAATTGTACTTATTATATAGGACAGTGGTGGATCCAAAGTTTAATTTGAAAGGGTGCTAATTTGCAAGAGTCTTTTTGACTATAGACTTTATTATTGATGACGATCCTATATTATATGTATTATTATGTAAAGCTTATAATCTATCAATTGAAAATTAATTACAAAAGTTTTGTTTTCATTTATTATAATTTATGATACAATAAAATATATAGATGTGTAGGTAATTCTTTTGTCGTGATTGTTATCGCAATGACCGCGTCTGCTTATCGTTGTCCGCGAAAGCACGACGACCGGGGAACCGGTCCGGTCGGCGGCCGTAAAAGTTCAGTCAATGATGAGACGGCACTTTAATATTTTACACAATTGTGTTGAATTTAATAAAATGTCCATTAAACATTAACGTGACGTAAATTTATTTCCTGACCATTACATCTACACTTTATGAAATTTTTATACATTAAATACGAGTATACACTATACATGTATATAGTACCATACATTTACCAATATTTATTTACTATATATAATGATTAACAATAAAATTACATTTCTATTATTTAATATAGACTAGAGAGGAGGGAAAATACCCTTTTTGAATCCTTTATTCAATTTTTGGATCCACTACCGGTATACTGGAAGTTAATAATTGTAAGTTTAAACTTTTGATGATTTTAAACTTCAGTGTTTTATTATTCATCATGTAAATGGCTGTTAAGTATTATAAAGTGATCTAAATAGTAAATAGACTATAGTTAAAATTATTTACCTATCGTATGAATGCGAATTAAATTAAAAGTTTCATTTAATAAAATTAAAAATAAAATTTAATTTGATTAAACACTCATTTGGTAAACATTATTTACTTGAGTCAGATAATATATGCGACCTCGATGTTATCTCTTAGTCAAATCTCCTTATTTTTCCACCTATAGGCTATATTGAATAGATTATAGTCTAAAAGCTATCAAAGCATTGGATTTTTATTTTCCAAATGTTTTATTGATGTTCTTTTCAGTTCATAACTCTTTTTTGGACTTTGGTCCTCCCAATAAATGCCCAATACTAGAATATAGGTCTATATATGGGATCTATTTTCTGTGTATCGATTAAAAAACCTTGAAAAATATAGAGAAAATGTATTATTTTATCAGATATAAAGAAATAATAAATCTAGACGATTATAAGGTTTTAGGGTATACTAATCTGCAATCTACATATATAATTATACCTAATACATAGATTCCTTATCAACTTGTCGCAAAATCGCTGATATGTTTTTCTTATGTAAAGTAGTTTTTGACTTTTGTTCAACTTCAATATATAATTGAGAGACTAACCACATAAATTAAAAAAATTCTCAAGAAGTCCTCTAAATACAGATTTAATAGAATCTAGATTGTTTATTTAATATTCTATCTAATTAAATGCATAATTATTCTCATCATTAATTTTACTCATTACCTATTAAATTTACGAAAGTGCTTAGATCTAAAAATATTCAAAATACCTCTCTCCTCAGATTAAAAAAAATTTTTTTTTTTCTAATACAATTTAATACCCTTAAATTCAATCAAATTTTCGTATAAGGGATTTTTAATTCTTTAGTTCCAATTGCATAATATAAAATAATGTATTTTAATAATTTATAAGTTTATAACTACTATATATAGTATTATCTTAGATTTTAAATTAGGTAGGTATACATATATTATATAGACTTATTAGGAATTAATTTTAAAAAAAAATAAATAAATTTACTATTAATATATACTTAATAGTAGTCGGCACGTAGTTCAAGAAAGGATTGTGGTCTATGTTGATATTGGCTTCTGACCTAAAAGCCACCGCTGGAGTGTAGAGAAGCTTGTTGTGGGCCAACGATAGGTATTCGATATTCTTCAGACGATAGAGATTGTCTGGCACGGAGATCAGCTTATTTCCATTCAACAATATTTCCCCGTAATACAATCCATCTGGATAAACTTCCGGCAGAGTTTCAATTTTGTTGTGAGACAAGTCCAATAGCCACAGAGATGGCATGTTTAAAACGTCTATACGTATATACATTTATATATAAAATTTATATAGGTAAACCGTTAGTGTGCAAATACGATACCATTGAAATTTAAACATTCATTGTATAATACTCAAGACTTTATCGCATTTATAAAATTATGAAATTTTGCATTCAAAATTTATAAAATATATTCTAAAAGTTTAAAAAAATAAAAAAAAATAAAAATAGAAAAACACTAGATTATTCATTTTAAATACGATAAAAATTATAACTATACATTTTTAAAATATTATCGTTAACCTTTGTCTACTTGTGAGATAAAAATCCAATGAACTGTAAATAAGTAGGATGTTTTTTTAATTACCGTATTGTATTTATTAGATTATTATTTGTTTATATTAGAGATTTATTTCATTATTCGACTATTATAATAATATTATTATAGGCTCTGTAGCGTCTCAACATGAAATTTTTAATTGTTCATCGGACGGTTTGTATTGTATACAAAACTAATGGCAACGTATTTATGTATCTTTGTAAAAAAAATATTTATAATATTAAAAATATTATTCAAGAATCCACACATAACTCATAAGAAAGGGAATATGACAAATATGATGTCTGGTGCACACAAATTATTAATAAACAGTTAATTGTACATTAGAAATAATGAAAAAGAAAACTGCAAATAAATAGCAGCATAAGTAGATAAATTTCGATAAGTAACATATTATTATGAATTAGTGTAATTGGGTACCACGGGCTTTTTAACGGTTATATGAATATTGCGTCCCGGTTATCTATAGTTGTAAAATTATACTTATCAATCTATATTCGCTATACGCATTAAATATTATATCTATCGAGTATTGGCTATCGGCTATCAAATAGTAAATTGTTATTTTTCTTAAATTTTTTAATGCATTTATGTACGCTTTGTATATTGTGTCGTTGACTATGTGGCAAAGTGCGCTGTTTTTTTTTAATTAAACATAATATATATACCTAATAGAGCTAATTTAAAAACAAAATAAATACATTTGTTTTTTGTTTAAAATAAATAGTATTTAATTTTGACCATTAAAAGATGAATATGTTGTATTGTTAGACCATAATTGTATTTATATAGACTTAGTATTCGTTAGTACAAGATAGTCTTAATAGCGAGAGCAAAATGACGAATTAAGTTTAGTAACATGACAATATTACAATAACAATATCATCATATATTAAATAAAGTTATTTTAATTTGTGATGACATATTAATTAATAATTGGATATTATGTATTGATTCCATCTTACTATTATTGATTTATTGATTTCCTATATTTGATACCTATTCCTACTTTACCTAAGGTAACATATATATTAATCATTATACGACTACACAATATACATGGAAATACTCAACAAAATGGTGGTAGTGAAATAGCACCTTATAATTAGTAGGGCAGTAGGCTTTAAGATAGTAGGTAGAATATTTTTTACTCACTGCCTGAGCGTATACAATTATTAAAATAAAATGTGTGCACCTATACATTCCGAATAATTTGGTATAAGACGGCCAAAGTTTATTTATAAATTTTATTTTTTCCATATTAATGATTTAAAATTTTGAAAATATTTGAATTCGTTTTAAGTTTTTTTTTGCAACCTGAATAATGACTTACCGCCGGGGATGTTTCTTATTTGGTTTCGGGACAAGTTTAGCTGAGTCAGCCGCTTGAGCGCAGTGAGCGTGGCAGGTATGTCTGTTATAGAGTTACGCGGTGCGCATAACACTTCCAACCCCTTTAATTCACAAAGTTCCGCAGGAAATGACGACAGTTTGTTGTTGTCTACGTAGATGTGAGTCAATTTAGCCAAACTGTTAATCCATCCTGGCTGTACATATAATATTATGTTAAAAATTAAAACAACGCGTAGTATTTAGACATCAATCAGTTTGTTGGTTTCGACAATTTTTAAGGCGATTGGCTTAGTGCCTATAATCTGTGGGACAAAACTTGCAAGTGGAAGTTTTTAATGTTGTAATTTATTAATAATGGCCAGTAAGTAGTACAAAATTAAAATTAATATTATATTTGAATTTGCTATTTTAATCGTTAATACTTATCGTCTAAAGTACCTATAGGTATATCAAATATTTGTGAGAAAAATAAAATTTGTTGTTTATTTATTACGATACACATTATTGATAAATAATAAAAGGTTAAGGGATGAAGAATTTACTAGTGACGGCACAACTTGAATAGTAGGTATATATAATAATCAGCAGTGCAATTTGGCGGTGGATGGTAGGGAAATTCGTATCGTTTTGAAATTTTTATCCATAAGTGGCTTAGATGATGTTAATCGATACTTTGGACTTAAATTTTAAATTTGTATTATAAATATCTAATATTATCATATATATTATATGCGTATGTTTATTGTATATAATATTGTAAATCAGTGTAGATTAATTTTTTTTCATTCTGATCACAATATTGATATAGATATTATATTTATTTATAGTTTGCATGCATAAATATTTATACCTAATCATTTCATGTTTATATAATTTTTATATAGCTATGTTTAATTTTGAGAAGAAAATGTTTTAATACAATTACGGCATTTTTTAAATAAAAATTATCATAAAATGTTTGCACCCTTTTATAAGAGAAACTTAAATGGTATTTCTATATAGGTATATTAAAGGTGTGTAGGTATTATGTGCATATAATATAGTACGACGTTGACTTACTAGCACTTCGATGAAGTTGTTTTTTATGTAAAGTTGATACACCCGGTCCCTGTTTTGTTTCAAATCTTCAGGAAACTCGAAGAGATTCCTGTCGTTCCAGTGCAGGATATGACCGATGCCGAGCGTCATCGCCGTGATTTTGCGGAGCATGTCAAAAACAAAATTTTCGTACGTATTTTTTGTTAAAGGTTAAGAATAGACACTATAAAGTAAAAATAATCATTGGCCGTACCCCAAAAATTGCGTTTATAAGGTTAGTGGATCATATCATATAATATTAATTTAGTCTACAGTTCTTTAACAACGGAGTAATAATAACTACCATAGAACACGATTTTCATGTCGTTTGAAAATTACCATCCTAGGTTGCATACTGTTATAAATTATAATTTATAATGTAGGTACAGTTAACTACCTAAACTTCCTATTTATATTTTATAATGTTAAGTACTCACGCGTTACTGAAATTGGTGTTAGACCAAAACATATTGATTTTGTGATCATGATTTTGTGTTTTCAACGAATATACATTCATGTTTAAAGGTAACGTTTGAAATTGATCACAACAAAATTTTTAACTTGGTTTACTTTAATGTTATTATTTGGGCTCTCGGACATTTACATAAACAGTTTAATTTCTGACGAAGTCTACAACAGATAATCATGATACATATTAAATAAGAATGTTTGATAAGGACTTGTGTAAACGAACCAAGTGTTCGGAAATACCGAGTTTGTGTGTTTTGATTTTTGAGTGGGAGATTAATGATTTAATTTATATATTTTTATATAGAATACTAATTAAGATAATATAATCGTCATAATCCAAAACTAAATGTGTATACTACTCAACATTGATAAATTACCTTTGTTATATAATGTTCAACTTACATATTCTTACAATTTATTAAAAATAATAATATATTACTTTCTAAAAATTGCACGATGAATGTGACCTAATTAGAGCAAAGGTTAGCCATTTAAATAAAAACACATCATTGTTTATCCTTTAAAGATTTATTTAAAGAAAAGTATTTCAATTAAAATTTAATAATAGAAGTACATGCTGCTTTATACATTTAGAATAGTTGATTATATTTAATTAAACTTAACAATATTTATAGATGCCTGTAACTACTGATCTTTTAATTAAAAATTGTTCAAGATAATAAACTCTGTGAATTAATATCTATTATTATTGATAAACTGAAAATTAAAATAAGTCTTGTTAACACATAAAAATGAAAAAAGAATCATTCTTGATGCAGATGACATTTTTTTATGATACAATTACTTATACATTTGTCAGTCTCAATGTAACAAAAATGGCAGTAATAAGTTACAAATTGTATTTAGTAGTACAACAGGCACCGAGTTTGTTATTTAAACAGCATAATTTGATAGAGATAAGAAGTATGCAACTTTAAATACATTAAAATGGATGAGTAAACTTGAAAGTTCCTCTAAATAACTAGTAGTTAAGATAAAAAAAACCCCATTTTTACAATACACACAGAAAAACTGAAATGATTAACTAAAAAACAGAACATTAACAACAGTATTATCACATGCTCAAATGGTTTTAAATTACAATATAATATAATAATTTACTAAAATAGTTTATAATTCATTAATCAATAAAAGCTATTCTTTTGTCTCGTACTTTTCCTCTAGTTTTTGTGCGCACCTTGAAATTGGCAGCATTAATTTGTTGCTGTAAGAGAAATATAAGGTAAATAAATGTTTTACAATATAAATATATTTTTTTTTGGATTTGTTATTTTTCAATTTACCCTTTCCAGCTTTGACTGCTTATTACTTAAAAGTTTTGTCTGACATAATTTAGGACCAAGGCTCAATATGTCACGAACTAGATCGTTTTCTGTCATATGCATATTCATTCCAGATCCCAATGCTTGACACAGAACATCATATTGCTTTTTTATGATCCACGAATTCATTGTTAATATTTCTTGACCAAAACGTATTTGAATATTTGGAGGTTCATCCAACTATAGAAAACAAACGATAAATTAATATTTAAAATATTATGTTACTTTCTACAGTCCAACTTACTTCTACATAATGGAGAATTTGCCTGAAGTTTGATCTTTGTGTTTTTCTATCCTTTTTAGCTCTATACTTTTGCGAATCTGTTGCTAGTTCACGTAATTTATTAATAAATTCTTCATCTGGCTCATATTCATCCATGTCTTCACATTCACGAGCCATTTCTAATAAAACTGTTATTAATTCACCAGTGACCATTCTCACTTCAAGATATGTTGAGTCTAAGAGAATACTCAATTCTGCTAAAGTACTAAAATTGAAAAAAATATATAAATTAGTTTTAATTTTAAATATTTTTAATTAACCACATAGCAAACTTACGGAATAATAGTAGAATTTCTAATTGATACAGTAGACAGTAGCAAAGACCAAGACGATAATGCTGCCGAATATAGAGCTGCTACTGATGGAGAAATAGTTGTTGAATGCAATAAACGACTCCATAAGTTCCGCATTAATTGCATAGCTGCATCAATTTCTTCATTGCAACTAATAAAAGTCAGCAATGCTATAGCCAAACAGCACTGAAACAAAAAATGTTTTAAATAAAGATGAATCTATAACAGATAGAAATAATAGTACAATTTAGATATGGGAAAAAACAATCAATTACCTTTTCTCGGGCTAGTAAAGGTACAGATTCATCATTAGCAACAAACATTAGAACAGGTAACAGTTCTTGACAAGAATCTTCTGCCATGTCCATTGCGCCTAACTGTATACACAATAAACTAGCTAAATTAGCTGCTGCAGCCTTTTCATTGTCACCACCTTTTTTAAGAGCACGCTCAATGGCATCAGTTATTGTCAAACGCCTGTATAACCAAATATACTTTACAATTTACTATATTTTAAAACAAAAAACTTATAAATAGATTTAATTTCAAAGTATATAACATACCTATTTAAAATATAATCAGGTATATATTTTTTACAAAATATATTACAAACAGCTTCAAAACTTAATGTACGTCCTTGTGCAGACTTCTGTGATAAGCCATCAATTGCGTCATTTAGTTTCTCTTCAAATGCATCATTCTGAGCATCATCAGTTTCATCAGTAGCAACACCTATAAATTAATATTAAATTTAAAAAAAAATTTAAGAGAGTAATTATATTGTAAGTCATACAGTAAGAAGAATACTTACAAGAACGTTCTTCATTTGATGTGCTACAAGATAAATTACTGATTACACTTGCATTATCATTATATGACTCATCATCAGACATGTCTAAATCACGTCCTTTTCCAGCTAGTGCATCTAAAAAATATAATGAATTTAAATGAATTAAATTAGTAAAAAGGTTAATAAATTAATTTATTAATATATTATTTTTAAAAGAATAAATAATACTAGTTAAATCAAGTAATATTTAATCAAAGATTAATAGATTTTAAAATATCATCATAAGTATATCAATATTTATTCAAAGATATCTGAGGGCTTAAATTTCATTATATATTGTCATATAATTATAATTACATCACTGATATGATGTTTTGACTCAACGTGACTTTCACTAGTGAACTAAATCTAACTATAGATACATATTTGGAACAACTTTTAGTAATGTATAAAATCTGAACATTTGTACATTTTACAGATATTAATTAGTTTTAAAAATAATAAATATTAAATATCCAAGTGGGTGGGTATTACATTATTTAGAAGAACTACAACCATTAGTATTTTAATTTATATTAAGTAAATTTAAGTTTATATAAATTACTAAATTATTTTAAAATAAAATGTTAATTTAGTGTCTGCAGTATTAAGTATAATATATCGATAAGTAGTAGGTATAAGATAGTATAATAAATAGGTGTATAGTATCTATATTAGTGAATAAATAACAATTACCTAATAGTTAAAATAAGGAAAGAAAAAAAGAAATTTAGTTATTTAACGATAAAGTAAAATTGTCAAAATGTACGTCATAATTAGATACTAAATGTTTTAATAAATATATAGGTGAGTAATATACATCAATGATAGATTTATATAGGTACTTCTAAATAAAATACTAATAAAATATTTATCTGTAGGTACCCACAGTAACTAATAATAGCCAGTTAATGAATAATATGACCTTATATTGTATAATATGTTATGAAATCTAATAGATAAATTAGGTTGGGCTACTACTTGTTATGTAAAATATAATATACATTTACTAAAATTGTGTATTAAATAACTATAGTGTTGTAAGATTATCTACCAAACCCTTAAACTCTTTTAATACCAAAATTGAAAAACAAGATATTAATTATACTAAAATAATGGTTTAGCAATTTAATGGCTTAATTAGGAACTTATAAAATCAAATTAAATTAAATATGCAACTCCTATTAATGAGTAAACAATAATATTATAGTTATAGGTGATATCATTAATCAGATTTAATCAGGTCTGGAATGGACTTGTAAATTACCAATAAAATATGAAAATCTTGATGAGCTACATAAAATATGGACCAGTTATACTTGCTTGTTTGTGATTTTAAATTACCATGATAATGATAAAACAATACAAACAGTAAGTAATAGAAAATATAATGTAATTGAATTATTAAATAATACAATATTCATAGCTGTAGCCAAATGTTAGGAATCCAAAACCTCAGTAGGTGGATATCATGCCTATTTAGTGATCTATTTAATGATGAATAAAGATTCTAATTATCCACTAGAGATGTACTTGTTTTGTGGTTAAATAAAGTAAGTACTAGCTTTAAGTATGAGTTAATATTAATAATTATTATTTTTTTATTTTAATTTATAAATAATAAACACATATACTACAATACTCTCAAAGACTTAGATGGAACAAATAGTTTGTATTTTTTATTTTCAATCAATTGGGAGCTTAGCTTGGTAGCGAGTGTCGTTGAATATCAGTTATAAATTACGTGAAATAAATAAATGTTCAGTAGCAACTTTTCAATAGAAAAAAACTAAAAGACTCAGTACATTTTAGTGCACACTGCGCAGGAAGAAGGAAATCGAAAAAAAATCACCATCAACACATTGGAAAGGACAAACCAGACGGCAAACGGATCGATAAAATATTCGAGAAATCGGCGGCAAGCCTTGATTTTCGTCTATGTTCAGGGCCGTCCGAGTAAACGTAAAAATAAAAATTATAAAAATATTCATCGAAATTGCAATAATTGACGGCTAGGTGGGGGTCGACGACAGACGAAAATATCGGCGGCGATGTATTTTCCGAGGCCATGCGAGAAAAACACGGCGTGGCGCCACAACAACAGCGCGCGGTGGGCACATGGCGAGCTACCCCTCCACCACGCCGTTGCACCAAATTGCGAAAATACGCAATAAGCGTGTCGTTGCAACACCGCGCGCAATAGATGACGTCAATACGAAAGTACAATGACGAAAACGTTTGTTAAGGCGATGAAAAATCTAAATCCGTTTCTTACCCGTAGTCGACTTGTGGTGTTGGTTAGGCCTGCGCTTTCCACGGGGCATGGCGGTCGTATCCGCGTGTACACAGCGGCGGTCGAACAGCGAAACTTTTTAAGCGAAAGTCGGCGACGGCGAAGTAGTCGTCCGGCAGTGGAGCGATCGTTGTCGTGTGGCGGTTGACGTTTTGCTTTGGCGGTGGTGCGTTCGGCGGATGTCGTGTTCGTGAATAGTCGTTGGCGACTGTGAGAAACCATGCACATCATGCCAGCTATCGGGTCAGGCAGCGGACGCTATACTGAGTACTGATCACTGGCGCGCGCGGCACGGTACGTTTTACTCTATAATAATAAACGTCGTGAGTCGCACGCGCCACCGACGATGGATCGGGTCGGGTCGGGTCGGATCTCGGGTGTCTCGTATGGAAAAAATGTGGCGGTGGACTGTGATAACGTATAACGCCAGAAGGTGGCGGTAGCATCACTGCGTTGAAGGACTCAAGGACGACGTTAAAGGCTAAAGATACATATTTGTTTTTATTATAGTATCATGAACATTAGAGTACTCTATGTTAATGGACAGTATTTACAGCTGAGGTTAAGCCGTTGAGTCGAATTGTGTGGCGATTGATGGCCCGATCGGCTGCAGCAGCAGTTGCTTAAAATCATTCATCATTCAAATTTCAAAGTTGTGGAATCATTTTCGCGGTTTGCGTTGCCAACCCAACGGCGTATCGTCGTAGTCGGCGTGCTCGCACTGTATCCGTCTCTCTCTGTATGACGACCTTTCGAGTGATACGGTAATGACTGATAACAGAAAATCATATGTTCGTGGATACGAATACGAAAGTCGTCAGTAAGTGGAGACTTGAGTCTAGTTCATTGATTTGCATTTATCATATTATTATTTTGATATCTGTCGTAGAGCCTTTTTTTTCGACATTAATTAACACAGTGGATTAAGATCAGTTCAGCCCATCGGGCAGTTGACAAAAATGGCTCTGACCAACGTTCATAGGATTTTGTTTCGTGCGCCTCCGTCCACTCGGCACATTGTAGGCAAGGCCCTGCAAGCGTCCCTTGGACCAAAACCGCCGAAACCTGCTCCGTTCCCGTATAAAGAAAAGGACTACACGATGTTCAGGAGTTTGTTCGACAAGACGACGTCGCGTTTTGATGAAAACAGCAAATTGATCGTTCTCGAAGGCCCTGTTGGAATTGGTGAGTGAGCGCTTTATTGCTTCATCTCGACCTCTTATATAATGCAACAATATTAGACCATTACGTTACAGAAAGTATTACAAGCAAAAAAACTTATGATATTCTGTTTGTGTAAATAGTGTCTGAATGTTTATTTTTTATGTCAATCTTATATTTATTTATTTTTAGGTAAGACGGCTGTTGGACATCAGCTTGCTGATTTATTGGGTATGCATTTTATGCCAGACATTACAATGGACGCGTATTACATAAATAACTATGGATACGATATGCGAAAATTAGACCCACAACTACCAGTCAATTGTCGTAGTTTTGACGAGAAGAATTTTCTTGAAAATCCAGAACACTTTAATGCTGCTTCATTTCAAATAATCAAATATAAGTTACGTTATGCTCATTATATTGATGCTATTGCACACTTGTTGAATACTGGAGAAGGTGTAATTATCGAACGCAGTCCATACAGTGACTTTGCGTTTTTAGAAGCAATGTATAAATGCAAGTATGTCAGCAAAGCAGTACGTGAAATGTACTATATACTGTACAAGCATGCTATGCCAGATTTGCTACATCCTCATTTGGTTATCTACTTGGATGCACCAGTACCAAGATTATTAGACCTTATAAAAGAAAGAAAACTACCTCATGAAGTTAATTCTAAGGCAATGAATACTAAGTATTTAGAAGCTATGGATAACGAATTGAAATATAAATTTTTAAGGGATATCAGGTATAATATTAACCACAAAAATATTATAATTATATGTATTAAACCAATAACATAAGTGATTAAATCTATAAATAATTTTTTTTAGCAACCGATCTGAGGTATTAGTTTACGATTGGTCAGAAGGTGGAGATGCAGAAGTAATTGTTGAAGATTTAGAACGTTTAGATCTCGACAACTATGATGAAAATGATCCCAAGATAGAAGACTGGAGTTATTCCAGAGAACAATATTGGGCTGATGTACGAATGAAGTAAGTTGTGTTTATTCAATTGCTGTTAATTTAAAGAAAATAAAATAAGAACCCATAAGACAATAAAATAAGGATAGATAAAACTTAAATAACCTTCAGAAATCCTTGAAAATAAGTTGTTTATAAATAATAAACAATAGGTACTTTAAAAAATCATTTAGGATATTCAGTGAAATTCATTGTAATGAAATAGAAAGGAAAATTTGTTGTTATCTATTACTTGTTACAATATTTTTATATTTTATTCTAGTAGATAGTAAAAAAAAAGAGCAAAATAAGGTCATAGAATGCCTTGTCCTAAAGATATTGATTATGATTTAGGATTCAAAGATTAAGTCTTTTAAAGATAAAACATGTAAATATAAAAAAGCTATAAAAAAGCTTAAGTGTTTTGAGTGAAGCAGAGTTTACTGCCTTAAGTTTGAAGCAGGAAGTGGGATCAGAAGTAAAAAGCAATTAGGTGATGGAATAAGCAATAAATAGATAGATTAGGTTGATAAAAATATTTTAATTTATTTAGGTATGTGCTTAATTGTATTTGATTCTACAACAATAAATAATTTTTATTATAATTATGTTTATAGATATACCAATTGTAAAGAAGATTTAATTTCTAATTTTAACGTCCCTCTTGTTGATGCTCCAGAACTTCTTATACCTGGTGAAGAAGCCGAAGTTCTTACACATGCTTGGTTCAAAGTAAGTATTATATTTTTATTTATAATTAAGGTATTTTTTAAATTTAATATTTTAAGTACATGCTTTAATTTGAATATTTTAAATATAACTTATAAGTATTATGTAATATACAACAGAAATATTTTGTATGTCATTGGTTAACAAGTTATGTTGGTTACTACTTACTACACTTAAAATTTTAAGTTTTAGTTGAATATTCCATTTTTATTTTTATAGTTTAGTTTAATCTATTAGTTAATGCAACCAAATTAAATAGTTTCATTGATGTTAAGTTGAACTATGTATCTTGTATATATATCGGAGGATGGATTTGCAGAATTTTCCAGTCTGGGAAATTTATTTAGACTGTGGATTTCTAGTTTTCTAATACAATATTATAATTGGTTGTCTTATAAAATTAAATATGTCTTCTTTATTTTTGATACTTTTTAATTGCTATAAGAAAAATCTATAAGGAACAATACATTAAATTTTTAAGTTTTTATTTATTACTCAAATAAAACTATTATTGAAAGAAGTTGAAAAAATTTAAAATATGGAGCCGAGAAAATTTTAAGTCTATAAATGACAATACTAAGATTGATTATCTTGTAAGCTAATTTTACATTAATATTTTCCATTTTACTGTACTTTTTTTTTTATAGATGTTTTAAAATTTACTGATATTACCCCCTTCCCCCCCCCCCAAGTTTAAACTAATTTATATTTGTTATCAAAAATCTCTTTTGAAGTTGAAAATTGGTGTATATTTTCTATGTCTTTACAAAATTTTTTTTTTTTTAAATACTGTAAAATAAATACATCCATTGTTTAATTTAAATTCTTAAATATTAGCCAATTTTTTGTTTAATTAAAAACTATGTAGCAACCCATATGTTAGCTGTCTATTGGGAAGTTTTCTAGTATATTACTAGGCCAGTCTGGTTCTGATTTTATCTACATGAAACATTCAAATTAATAGTGTCTATCAAAATCATCTTAATTTTTTTATTTTAAAAATATATAATATTTATCAAATTACAACTTAAATTATTTACTTACATTTTTTACTCCTGAACATTGCTTCTATTATAGAACTTTTTAAATTATGTATGAATTAAGAAAGTGTGAGAAATTAAAAAAAAAAATGTTGAATTTGGGTTTTATCAATAAAAATATCACCATGTGTACAAATACTAAACAACTGTTATATTTTAATTTTATTATTTTAACCTGAATCAGAAAACTTATTATTTTCAAAACTTTGATTTTCCAGTACTATTTAAAAATAAAAATTTTTTGTTAAAATTTTAAGTTTTATTTTATAAATATTTAAAATTATTATTTTAATAATATAGAAATAATTACCAATTGTCATTATTAAATTAAAAAATTGATTATTAGCCATTAAATCTCTTATAAAAACTTAAATGCATAAAATCACTTGTGTTCCTTGTGACCATTATCATGTCATCTATAACTATTAATGCTATAACTTATAACTAAATTTAAATATTATTTACAGGCCGAAGGAAATACACACGCAGATGGTTATGATCCGAAATACCATAGCTTTACAGAACTACTATTCAAAAACAAGTCTAAGAAAGGTTGGAGTCCGGTATCATGAAGTGAAAACACATCTATGATTTTGTATAATTTTATTCATAAACCATTGCTTAGCTAAGACAAAAATACTCGTTGTCCCGTTCTGTTTAATATAATTTGCATTGTATTGTTTAACATTTAAATACAATATTTACATATTATTAGTATAAAATATGAATTATGATTATTAATTATTATTTTAATAAAACGTTTAGTGTCTATTCGTTGTAAATCTGAAATAATTAATAATTATACTATTATTGTACGTTGTTATTCTAGTGTTTTGGTAACATTTGAATATTTTTTAACAGTGTTATCACAGTATAAGAAAGTTGAGATAAAGTTTGTTATTGTAAAAATAATTCTGTCTCCTATACAAAATAATCTTATTCACTTATCAGCCGCTGTTATCTGTGGTTAATACGTTAAATTATTATCTTTAAACCTTTGGTATGTTATGCCTCTGCGGTATTGCGGCGATAGTAATTCGTCGGATGTTGATGGTGTAATAAATATTTTCCTTTTAAAAACATTCCGATTTTCCATTTCAATGTTACGTGACTTACGTAACAGGTATCACACTAGTCACAGCGATATCGCATGATTATTAATTAGTAATTACTCATTAGTGTCCTGTGAGTTGTAGTTGTCTGTCGGAGTTTCGGGACTTTTGAGATCGGTTTACAAGTTTTTTTCTTTTCGTTTGAGTAATTTAGAAAATGCATTCAGAACAGTTATTGACTCACGTCTTGTTTTTCGTCATTTGCGCCACTGCAGTAATATGTCTGAAGAAAGATGGGTACTATTGCCAGTTGTCTCCCCCATGTAAATGCATTACGATCAATAATGATAGAAATATCAATTTAGATGGAGTGAACTTGACGCTGAATTTCAGTAGTAACCAACAATTTCATTATCAACCTTGTCTCGATGATGGAAGTGGAATTATTGTAAGTATCTGGTTATGTGATAAATATTTTTCTAATAAATCTAAAGGTGAATGGTTTTAATTTTACTCTGTATATACCTATAGTTGTATGAACTACATAGGTACTTGATCACTTTTAAATTTTTGAACATCGTATTGACAGCAGTTCTTAACAGCAGTTTTTATTATGTTATTTAAAACATTTATACTCATAGTATTAATTAGTTTCTTGTATATTCTTTAGAGCACACAGAGATAAATTTTCATGTACTCTACCTATAAATTAATAAAGCATAAATACCTACTCAAAGAGTATGAATAGAAGAGTAAGATATATCCTTTATATTTATTTAAAATATTGGATAATTTTGTCCTCATTTTGTTTATCTTTATAACAATATATAGTTTAATTTAAAAACATTTTAAAGAAGAACAAAAAATAAAATATAAATATTGCTCCAATTTTTCTTATTTTATAGCAATAATCTTTTATAAAAAGCCCAAAGGATAATATTTATTTATTAAACATTTAAAAAATGTTGAATTTATTAAAAATATATAAAGGCCACTAGCTTTAATAATTTAGTTTTAAATATGGCCCTGAGAGCATAATGTGTAATATCTGTAGAAAATATAATTTGAAGGCTTGTTGTTAAGAAATACTAAATATTTAGGAAATTCGAAATATAATTTATGCAAAACAGTAATTTGCCAACATTTCTTGTGTTTGCTTTATACAGTAAATATTTTTTCAGTATCATATCTGCTACATATTTTATACAACAAAAAATTTGTTATCTGTCCATATGCTTTAGTTATTGTATTCCCATTGATAATTTCAAATGTTCTGAAATATTTGTTTATATATTATATTATATACAATTTATTTTAATTTTTTAATTATTTTAGAATGTTAATTACCTATAAGTAGGATTTTTTGTAATGCTTGTAGAATTTTTTAGGTAAAATAGAAATAATTTTTACAAAATAAATAATTTAAATATAAAATTTTATTTTTCATATTTTTGCATATTCTGTCACATTTTAAAGAGAATATTTGAACATTTTGTAACATACTTGTGTATTTTTCATATTTTTTACATTATATAGTTATAATTTTGTGTTTGTATAAAGTTCTAAAATAGTTTATATTAATATAAAATTTTATGATTACTTGATTAATTAGTAAAAGAAAGTTTTGTTATTGACATATGACTTTTGCTATTTATTTTATTGGACAAAATTACGATTACAAATTAAATAACATTGAAAAAAATCAATACTTGCGAAATGAGAGTAGGTGTTGATAGGCGTTTTATGATCATACAACATTTAAAAAAAATATATTAATCAGTAGATCAATGTTAATAAAATCAGATTAAAAGTACATATAAATTAATGTTTATATCTATGTAATTAAAAAAAAAAAAAATGTTAACAGTATATTTTGATATTTTAACTGCATATTTTGATCGTTTTTAGTTCCAAATTTGTTGATCCCTATTTGAGACGCGTGTTTGATTTCTTTAATAATTAAGTAATTTAATCCTCTATAGTAATTTTGATATTTGTCTAATATTATTATATTTTTTATGAATTATTTAATTTAAAACGAATACTAATAATTTAAAAAATTAGATATTATTATTTTAAAAAACATCAATTTTATTATTGTATGTTTAGATTGAATCAGTAAATGAGACATACAATACTACAACAGAACTAGCTAATTATAATGTCACTGAAGTTAAAATAAGCAAAGTGGTAACATTTGTTTATACAGATGACAGCAAGTAAGACTATTTAATTGTTGACCTAATAAGTTACATATTATTATTTAATTTATTTTATAGACAGTTTGATGTAATTTTGGTATGCAATCCATTAGCAGTCAGTGGAAATGAATCTCTAGTAAATTTCCAAAATGTCTCAGATAATCTATGTGTAAGGCTAACAATATTTAGTATTTACTTGTTTAATTATCAAAATAAATTATTGGATTATTTTTATAGACAATTGAACTTCAAACCAGTCAAGTATGTGGATTGAATTTAAATGATGGATATGATGAATACTCAGATTCAGAATCTTGGACTTATTTTTTTTCATTTGTTTTGGTTGTTGCATTTGTTTACTTTGTTGGTGGTTCTGTAATAAATGCCTGCTTATTTAATGAAATTGGTATTAATATGATTCCTCACCATGCATTTTGGTCTTCACATTACAATAATATTAAGGTTTGTCATTGTGTTTGGGTTAATATTTTAGTAATTTATTATTAATTAAAGTATGTTTTTCTAGGATAAACTATTTGGCACCTCTACAATGGCATCAGCCTATGAAAGCATATAAAATATTTTTCTAAACAAAAATGTTTATACATTTTGTATGGTACCTATTTATATAAATTGCTAGGCATGTTATTACTGAATGTAAGATATAATATTTATTTTGTATTTTACTCTTCTTATTTATAATGGTAATTCTGTATTCAATAACTATTGTTGTTTTTTTTTTTTTTTTTAATCAGAACTAAGATTTAAAATGTACTTGATTGCAAGTAATATTTTCAATTTCTTATTAATAAAAATTCAATTGTAATCAGGGTTTTATTATATGTATCAATGTGATTTTAAAATATTTTGATAGTCAAAAATTTTATACAAAAATATGTGAAAGTCAATGTTGTTAAAATGTATTATTGCATGAAAATATAATGATTTAAAATAACTTAACTATTAAAAATACTTTTTTTTTTATACATTTTTTATCATGATTACTGGATTTTCATACTTATACTATCAAAAAATAAATAAAAAGTAGATTTACTTTTATAGTTTAAAATAGTTTAATTATTTTCTCTATTTCAAAAAATATCAGATAAATAATATTTATCATTAGATAATTTTGTTTTAATTATGAGTGCATATTTTGCTTTAATTACTGGTTTAATATATCTTATGAAATCTTTTTTTATATTAAGTATTCATAATTTTAAAAATCCAATTAAAGCAATTGATTTTTATAAATCCAGTTTGTTAAATTAATTATTTATTTTGTTTTTATAATACAATGTAGTGAATATTTGCTAGTCCATTTATGTATATTAGGTAATTTTTTTTTTAGTAATTTAAAATTTCATTTCAGTTTTATTACACAGACTGGTACTTATTATTTTACTAAGATATGTATATAATAAAAAATACTTTTTGTTAAGTATATTTTTTGAGTTACCAGTTTTCTATAAGTACTTAAATGTTGATTGGTTTTAAAAAAAATATGATTTGTTTTGTTTTATATGACTTCAAATTAAGTTTTTCATTATTGCCTTTATGGCTAATCAAAAATTTTATTAGAATTATGTATTTTTTTTTTTTTTTATTAGAAAAATATAAATATCTTTTATTTAAATTATCAGTACCTTTATTCTATTCTATATAAGAGTAATAATTAATCTGAAAGTGGGTGTGATATATTTACTGGACTGGGAGAAAATTATCTGTGCCAACTATTGTTCTTATATGGAATTGAGTATTGTAAGTTTTATTTATTTTTTTTTTTTTAATTTGTACACCATAGAAATAAAATGTAAAAATAGTTATTCATGAATTTATGTTAAAAAGTTATATGTATTTAATAATTAAATATATTTTTTATTCAGATCCATAAATTATTGAGAATCACTTCAATTGAAAAAATAAAACAAGAATAGGTCCATTTGCTGTTCTAAAATTTACTAAAAATAAACATACTAATTCTCATTTGAAATAATTATAACAGGAATAATACAAGTTAATGAAACTATGTTTGTATTGTATATTGTGACAAGTTAAATAAAGAAGAAAGTTGTAACGACTAACAAAATAACCTTGATTTTGATTGTATAGTATGGTATGATTGAAGTAAAATTCAAAATGTATTTAATCATGAGTTATATACCCATTCATTTGTCATGTATTGAATCACATAATCAAATGCAGCTGTAGCAATGCTTTTTTTTTTATCAATATCACAGAACAAGGTTGGTGTTATAGAGTTGGAATCTCCATTGCTAAAGTTCACTGTAAAAGATTGTAAAGAATACATCCATGTACTCATTTTTCTGAACTCCTTTGTGTGTTTAAAGTATTGTTAATTTTATAATAAACTAACTCATAAGAAATATATTGTTGGAAAAGTTTAATTTTACTATGTTTTGTTGGAAACTAATTTCTGTTAAGTTTTAGTTAGAGAGAATTATGGTATAACAAAAGAATGCAAATTTGTAGGTATGTGTTTTGAAATATCTAAATACCGAACTCTACTAGTTACAGAAGTTTTATCCACTATTTTATGAAGAGAGGTAAATAAAAAAATAAACAATATTAATATATATAAAAAAAAAAAATATATATTTATCATTTATGTATATTTGTATTAATTTTATGTATAATGTATTTTGTTTAAAAAAAATATCAGTTACTTATGCTTGTTTATAATAATGTTATTGTACATTTAAACGGATATACCAAATGAAGTGATCATTATCTATGATAGGCAAGAAAATATTAAAATAATATTATAATAATGTATAAAATGTACTTATTAGACAACAATTATAACAATAAAAATGTTCAAAATTTATCCATAAAAGTGTCAGTCATTTAGAGATTTTCCTATAATTTAGAATAAAATTATAATTTTAAATATTGAAATATTTGATTATGACAAAACATAATAAAAATTATAGTCTTTTTAACAGTGAATTATTTACGAGTTTGATCATTGAAGACTAGCATTTTAAATACAAATGCTTTATTTAAATATTTTTTATTGGTTACTTTTATTTTTACTTGTACTTGTGCTCATTGATTATAGGTTTGGTAGATTTTAATAATTTAATTTATGACGTGTATTAATGGTTTTCAAGTACTGGTTTTAACAATATGTGTTAAGTCAATGAGTGAGCAACTTGCTGCTTATTTATTGGATAACAAATAATTGTTTTGTCTTACATAATAAATAAACATTATACAATTTATTGTATCATGAATATTTTTTTTCTTAATTAAATTAAAATTACATTCATCAACTGAATTTAGTATAATAGTTGTAGTTAAAATTTATAAATATTCACATTTTTTAGAAATTTAATTATGATTCTAATATGAAATTTACTTAAAGTAAATAAGAATAGAGTCAGTCTATAAATGATTTTCCCAGTACCTATTGGCTATTTCTTTAAAGCTTCCAAATTTATTAACTTTATTTTCAGACGCTAGGTTATAAAATCTGATTACCTTCAGTTTCTTCAAAATTGTAGAAGTTTCTAATGTTTCCAAGGATTTTGGAATTGAATTATCAACGTGATTCCATTCGTTTTTTTTCCACTCGTAACTCAATTAAATATTTTAATGGTTCATAAAAAAATATAGTAAAAATTCACTGAAAAAAAATATTTTAATTGTTTACAAGCGTCGACAATATGCCATATACAACAATATTACAAATTACAATAAACTTTATTATCACATAACACACGAATGTGGAACGTGGCTTTATATAGGTACCTAATATATATATATTTTTTTATAGTGCGTACGTGATACATATATCGTGAAAACATCGACGATAAGAGTTTAAATTCTTAAGTTAGAATTGGGAAAGCAACAGTCGATAACGATAATTATCACAACAACAATATTAATAATAATAATAATGATTGCCCGTCATATTAATTCGTTAAAATGTATTAATATAAAAACTACAGTATGTTCTTAAATTAATGAAAGCTAGGACAAAAAAAAAATGTTGAACTTAAAGTAGTTTATGGAATAGTAATACATTGAGGAAGGGGTAATTATGATTTTTTTAGTCTCTTGCGATTTATGTTTATGATGTTTAGTGGGTCTTTCAACTGTTCTTGAAGTAACTGGCAACTGGCAAGTAAGAGTCATGAAAAGAATTTCAGTAAATATTAAATATAGAGTAAGATTTCTAATAATTCTAGATTCAATTGAACCTAATACCTCGATTAATAATTATTAACAACTTGTACAAAGATATTGAAGGAACATATCCAGAAATGAAACATAGACAAATGGTGTCTGAAGTAGGTATGTGAAATCACGGGCATAAATTGTACAACCCATCATGTCTATTTCTACCATATCCAAGTTTAGACGTAGGTATAGATACCGTAACTTCTCCAAACAAAAAACGAAATAGGTCATCGATTTCGCGCAAAACTGTAGATTAAGATCGAAATAAATTACGGCAAAAAGTGTGTTTGATTTAGTCTTTTCGAGAACTGACGACGATCAATAGAATAATTGTCGAAGTTACCAAAAATCCCACACTTTCAAAATTAAATCGTACCACATTGAATAGTATTAAAAAATTTGATTTTGTATTTATTAAGCGAAACAATTACAGTGTGTTAACAGATATGGTAGATTTGATTGTTCAGAGACACAATTATTTAAATGATATTTGTAAGTATTGTGGAAAGGACCGTTTAATATATTACTTAAATAAACGTTGAACAATGAACGCCAATAATTTTGCGGACCAAGTATGGACGTAAAATCGGTACTTTATAAACATGACGCTTTTCTTCTTAAAACTGCATAGAGGAATCCGATGGATAATGGGAAACGCTTCATTGTGTTTTTTTGTGGGATCGGATAAAGGATTTTTGCCAGGCGGGTTATTATATTTTAAATAAAAAATTAGTAGCGGCGATTACAAAAACGAAATTAATGCTGATCATTTTAAAGAGTGGTTTGAATATTCTAGTATCCCTCGCTTTAGCCAAATTTCGTTGAAGCTATCGATGACGCACCGTATAATTTGTCAAAATCTGAATAAATTTTGACATCGAGTTCGAAAAAAACCGAAATACCTATCGTGGTTGTTTAATTCAAAAGGTGTCTGTTTTTATACACTCATGTCGGAGCCTCAATTGTTAGTTTAAGTGTTTGGGTTAAAACCAAAATTCACATCGTTCGCCATTAAAAATTTGGCAGCAAACGCAGGTCGTACAATACTCCAATTATCACCCTATCACAATGAATTTAGCTCCATTGAATTTGTATGAGTAGTGGTGAAGAGTACCTATATGAAACGAAACAACGCAACGCTGAAGGCTGATGGCGTTCAAAACTACGGCAACCGATCAGATGACGGTTAAATATTATACATGTATGCATTAATTATTGATGCTGTATACATGAAAAATGTTGGCCAAGTTTAACGATATGGTTACGTCTTTAATTATATATAACCATTTTGGTGTATCAAAAGCTTACTATGGATACCAACCAAATACCAATTATTACAGCAAAGGATTTTTATGCATGCATACGCGAATGTGTTTAGTGAATACATGCCTTAAAACATTTAAAACTACGGTTATCTACTGCGGTAATATTATTATGAAAACTAGAAATGAGAAGATCTACGAATTTTTGTAGAATAAATCCTAAATGTTTTTTATAAGGAAATATTTTAGTATTATAAGCGACAACGTTAAATAATATGTCAATTTTTAGTTGTTATCTCATAATTTATAAATATAAAATAATATGTAGGTACTTACTAAAATATAATCACTGATTCATTATTTCTTAGTTGGAACCACCGAAGTTATAAGTATGAAACTGGTCAAAAGTTTTGTTTTATGATGTAAAGACTCATTAAGAAAGGTTTTTTCAAAATTCTTCCCCTGAGGAGGTTAAAAAGCGTAAGAAGGAGTAAAAATGTAAAACGTTATTTCTTGGTTGAATTTTTTTTTTGAAATTTAATATACATAAGTACTCTGTAATACAAATAATAAGATATCTTTTATCTTAAAAACATGTGCAGCTTATATTTAACGAAATTTAAGGAGAGGTAAATTCACGGGAAAAGTCGTATAAAATCAGCGAGTAGTGTATTAATATACTACTTATAATAATATGTTTGGGGGTTATGATTCCATGACAAGGACAACATTTTATGGATTCTTAACTACGAAGTAATTTAAAAATTGTTATGATTTTATCGAAATTTAAACTTTAAACTATTAAAGTGTTTATATAGGTCTATAGTCTCTATACGAGTCTTTCTAGTGAGGCTCGGTATTTTTATAAGAGATCATAAAAAAAAAAAATTAAATTATACATTTTAAATATTTTTTTTTCATAATAATTGATATGAGAAAACTATTTATTTATTGTTTTTGAGAAATCTTGTATTTAATTTTCACGTTTTTTAATAATTTATTCTTTGTATAATTTATTTCAGGAATGTTATAATTTTAACTATTCAAATTACTAATAAGATTTAATTGCCTACCAGATTTATTTAATTATTCTACTCCAAAATGCATTGACAAACGTAAGAAAAAAATACTAATCATTGTAAAATCAATGCATTTATCATTTTACTCTTAAAAATCAGAATCTGTAATTAAACAAAAATAATTTCAAACAAAATTCTCTAACTTGTGCGTTTTATTTCAAAATGATGAAATTTTAATACAGACGATTTTGTAATATCATACGTATGGAAGTTCTAGTATTTGGTAAGGAATTAGTTAAAATTTATAACTGGTGTTTGATAACAATATTATTACACGAATAAAATAAATTATTACACTAATGAGAAATGACCACATGGCTGTTTAAAGTTTAAATGTGTCTCCACCATCCGTAATCAAAGAACTCCTGGGGCACCAAAAATATAGTCACCTTGAGTAATCTGTTTATCTTAAATCGTGAATAATTTGTAGTACGTAGATATATTTATTAATTATTCTATTATTATCCATTTTCGAGAAACAAGGTCAGTCGATAATAGATCATCAACTCAGCTTTATTTATAATTGTTGTAAAATAATCTATGCATATTTCCGGTTTTATCGACGAAATTACAGAAATTACATAGTTGTCAAATACGTAATGGTTTTAACATAATATTTAATAACAATTATTATTATTATAACATTAAATGCGACAATTATAATAATTGTTTTTATTTTGAGTAAACGAAATAGTGCTAGCGATTCAAATAAAAATAAATCGTAGGTTTATTGTAATTAAATAATTCAAGTATTTTATCTTAACTTTTTTTATAATTGGTACAGATTAAAATAGGAATAAATTAATTTATTTAACGAGCGATAATTATATTGTGATATTAATTATTTTTATTATTTGCATATTTGACCTATCTATTAAAAAAAAAGTCTACCCATATTGATAGTGGAGGTAAAAAGTGAGGATATTTAGAGAACAACTATGTTACTATACGATTATGTTTATTAAATTTAAAAAATAAATAAATGTTACGATAGTATTTATTTAAACCATGTACTGCTATTATTATGAATAATACTAACATGATAGTTAGCAACTTTTAAAGCATAAAGTGAACGAAAATGGTCATTGATGACTTTCGTACGTTAATAAAAGAAAAATTAAATTAGTTACATTGCGTATACTATTATATATTATCTGTGTCTCAGAGTGTAAACAAGCGAAAAAGGGCCTTATTCGATTCAGAACTATAACATAAGATATGAGTTGGGAATGACAACATATTATGATATCGTTTGGTTTGGCATAAATTATACATATTGGTCATGGCTATATAGTAGAATATAATGTATAATATCATGAACATGAATGAGATTTGTGACACTATTAAACGGTTATGGGCAATGAATAAGTATCAAGAGATTATGATAAAATAACAAATAACAAAATAAATAACGTGCTACATTGTTATCATTAATAATAATTAGTGGAAATTTAAATAATAGTTTTCTCTCTCATTATCCGTTCACATACACTATTCACCGATCCGCAAGCGCAAATATTACACAATAATTATTACAAAATCATTCCGTTAGTAGCCGTAATAGATTTGATCGGCGTCTGTCGTCCGAGTGTAATATACATGTAAGATTGTTGTTTCTCTACGACGATTGTTTCTTCAAAATGGTAAGTAATTATTATATTTTTTTTCACTGATAGTTATTATATAATAAAAATATAATATACAGTTGATTGTTTATTAGATCTAAATTATTTGTAATGTAAATATATAAAATATTATTTACAAATTGAAATTAAATTTATATAATAAAAATCATATAGCTCACAATGAGAGATAAAATATAAAAATACATGATATTCTAATTTATTTCAAATCAAGGCATAAGTAAATATTGTATAAGTCTATGTATTATTTAATTTATAAAAACAATAGTTTATTTTATTAGGAATCTGTTGGTAACAAAGGAGATTGTTATTGAAAACTACTACTGATAATTATTATTATTATACAGTTATAACTGTTTAATATGAATTAAATTAAAATACAATGCAGTTTATACGTACATTTATGTTAAATATTGGATTTTTAATGAATTGTTATTATTAGGGCCCTAATAATGAATTTTAACCCCAAACATGTTTTTAAAAAAATTCCAAATTATTATTTGAATTTTTTGTTTTATTATTATCTACATTTTATTTTATTCCAAAACCCCTAAAAATATCAAAATTTTTAAAGGATGCGTTGGTGATGGTTTTGAGTGTTAATTGATGAAAAATATCACTTTTAAAGTTGAATTATTTACCTATTCTAAGTAAACCAAACTTTATAACTAAGTTCTTAATTGTTAAATTGCGAGCATTGCATTGAATAATGATATAAACATGATTATAACAATCGACAAAATGATACATTTTTGGAATAAAATTTCTTGAGTCATCATTTTGAATAACTAATTAAATTTTATCTAAAAACCCATACAATGTATAAATATGTTCTAAAAATTAGAAAAAATTATCTAAATATTCAAATAAATGTTCTAAAAACACCAACACTGTTGTATTAAATGGATTTTGTATTCAAATCCGGTCTCTAGTTATTATTTATAAGCATTAAAAATGTTGGTTAGTAGAGTGTTGAGTGTTGACTATTGAAATATAGTGTAAATCCACCGTCATTCAGTTCTCATAAATTTAATTTTAAACTTGTATTCTGAATTCTGTATTGCAAAAATTAATGTGCGTTTGTTAGGGCTCCTTAATCTATGTAATATCATATCCATTTATCACCAAATTTTACTTACATATTATTTGAGTGTTTATGGCGCTGTATTTTAACTTTTAGGTATTTGGTTAATTTTATTCCAGGTAATATTAGATTTTATAACACATACAGCTGGCGTTGTACAGTATTATAATATTAAAACACTATGCGTTTTTATGCTACATTTATCACAGTGACATAAAGTTTCTCGTGTACTAATTTAATTTTAATTGTTATTGCTATAATACTATTTTGTATACTTAAAACATAATTTCTTGTACAGATAAAGTTAATTAAATGTTTGGGTTATTATTATAACTAGAAGTTTGAGTAGGTACCAACCTAATTTATAACCTTCTATATATTTTGTATAATAATTTGTTTACTAAGGATTGTTTGAAAAAACTTTTTTAAACTTTTTATCTGAACTGTATAATATATAAATAAAAGGTTCAACCCTATATAGATATTTCTGTGATTTCGTACTCATTGATTTTATTCAAATTTTAATGTTCATACCAGTCAGAGCCGTTTTATCAATTAACTTAGTTACAATTAAATGTGTGTCATTATCTTTTGGCCAATTTTGATAAAAATAAAATTGGGACGGATATTTCTGTCATTAATTTGAACAAAATTTCGTAAAAAATAATTCACTCTTTACATGCATCAATTAAAAATATAATGTAGGTACTCATCAAAGGGTTAAACTATTTGATGTCAAATAAATTTAAATCGGTTGTTGTACGATTTATAGATCTTGATCGGGTTCCAGACAGCCGTCTACGTAATGTATATTGCAGTGTTCATCGTGTCATTAGTTGGCAACGGCCTGGTATGCTATGTGGTTATGTCCTCAACGCAAATGCAATCAGCTACTAACATGTTTATCGTGAATATGGCTATCGGTGATTTGGTCATGACGTTTTTTTGTGTTCCGTTCCCATTTGCCACTTCGTTCCTATTGCAGTATTGGTCGCTTGAAAACTACTTATGTCAAACTTTTACTTTCGGCAAAATTGTTGCCGTGATGGTAAGTTACATTTGCGGTGGGGAGAGATAAATATAGGCATTATATTATAAAGAATTTAATCAGGGATATATTTATAATTTTTTAAAGAAATATAGAGGCCATAATAAATTATACAATACTTATATTGTGATAATACACATATAACAGTTAAATACCTGTTAACTGTGTCAATAACATATAGGCAGGTGATTTTATTGAGTAGCATAAACATTTGTGTAATTTAATGAAAAAAAAAAATAATTTGTTATTTCATATTATTTTTGATTTTTATAAGTGTTTTTCAACAGAAACATTTTAGTAGTCTTAAGAACTTGCTTTATCAGTTATTTCAGTATAATTTAATTCATTAGGATAACATAAATAGTACTGCGATTTTCTAATCATTGCGAGCTTAGTTTAATTATAGCAACAAATTGTAATTATTTCAACTACGGTTTAATATGAAATCAATACAAAGTCTCCATCAGCTCGAAATCATCATGAAAATATGTAGTTTCAAAGCGTATAGCATTAACTACAGATTTCTAACAATTCTAACTGTGTATTCTTGTTATATTTATTTTATGCGTATGCACTGAGTACTAATACGGCGCATTGTATTAGCAAAATAAGTACATTACTGCATTGGGGAACATTTAAAATCATTTTTATATAGTATCTAATTTGTAATAAAATACTTATGTTTGAATCTTCTTTTTTTTATTTTTTTTTTCAATAGCACTTATAAAATTAATTTTTTTTTGACCATTTGTACATTATTGTCAGCATTTTTAATAGGCTGAAATGATATGTTTATAATACAGTCGTTATGTACAGGCAATCGCGTAAGTGTGAAATGTTGTTTTCAAAACTAAGTAAACAAATAAAAATATAAACGATTGGATTGTTTACGAAAATATTGAAAACGTTTTAAGAAATACGATAATAGACCGATATAAAATGTTTTAATGCATATTGGTTTATTAAAATGTCGTAAATTATTATCACAATCATACTTATAGATTTTGAATTTTAACATCATGAATTATACTGTTGTGTTTCGCATAGGTCAGTGCGTATACATTGGTAGCCATCAGCGTTAACAGGTATATAGCAATTATCTGGCCACTGAAACAAAGAACTAGAAAACACCAGGCTAAGTACATAATAGCAGTAGTTTGGATAATGTCTGTCATTACATCGTTTCCTTTTTTACTCGCTACTTCGTTGGATCAGGTAATTTATTTTTATTTTTAGATAATTTTTTGTTTATTTATTACATTTTTTTTTCTAGAATGCAAATATGAATGTAATTTATAATGTAAAATTTAATTTATTCAAATTAGTTATGAAAATAATATTTAATATGTCAATTTTCAAGGATATCTTTAATTTACCTCCTAATATTTCTAATTTAATAAGAGCTTTATCGTTTTGATTTTAAGTATTAATGCTGTTAATTGGTTTCTGACGTACAATTTAAAACGTGGTTGATGTTTAAAATGAAATCGAAATCAACAAACCTAAACACGAGTATTAAATACGAATTAATTATATTATAAATATATACTCGTACAAAATTTTAAAATAATAATGCAGAAAATATTAAATAATTTTTAAGTATTTATAAATTAATAAATTAAAAGTAATCTGTATTTTGATAATTTATTATTCATAGCAAAACTTAAGGTTATAATGGTTATAACTATAAAAATATATTTAAATTCAATACTGCTCATTTCAAATCACCGTTGTACAATTCTTGACATTGTAAAATTTAACTGTTTTACTGTTATGAAATGTTCAGTTCAATCAAAATTAAATCACGTAAAGGTCTTAAAAGATGATGACTGTTAGGAAACCAATTTGTATTGCGAATTCTGAAAAGTAATTAGTAATTTTCGTTAATAAATTAAAACAATATTCTTTTTCTACGCATAATATTTGTATATGAGTATAACGATGAAATAATTATTTAAAATTAAATTTAAAAGAATTTCTTACGTTTATGTTGTACATAAGTTTTTACATAAGCTTTAATTTAAATACATGTCTATAATTTTATGTTGTAGTAGCATTCAAGTATCAATTTTATATTTTTATGTATCTAATACATTTATTTACCTTACTATAGTTGGTTTTATTACTTGTTAGAAGTTTGACATTTACTTCTGTACTGATAAGTGGTCGAGTGAATATATTCGGCGATTCTTTAATGCAGCATTATTTGTACTGCAATGCTGTATTCCATTTGCCGTTTTATTGTTTACTAATATTCATATTGGTATTGTTGTGTGGGGTAAACTACCTCCCGGTGAGGCACAAAACTCCAGAGATATTAAAATGGCAAAGTCAATAAGAAAAGTAACATTTTACAAATATTATGATCGTAATATATGTCAACATTTTTTTAAAAATTTTTTATAGATGATAAAAATGATGGCAACAGTGGTCATAGCATTCATCGTTTGTTGGTTGCCATATGATATTCTTTTGGTAAGTGCTTATTATTTTATTACTTTTATTAAAAATAATTTCGAAAACAAGTTATTGCACCACTTTAACGATATATAAATCAATTTTAAAATTAAAACAATAAATTATGAAAATTCATTTACCTCCAAACATGTGAAAGTTATGTATGAAAGTTAATTCAAGTAGGTTGTGTTTTAATCATATATCAATGCTTCAAGGAATATTTTATGCTATACGCCCGAAGAAATTTCTATATCTACTAATTGTATTAATGCTGTAAAGTCTTAAATTTAATTAAAAGAAATATTTAATAAAAAAAAACGTTTCAAAAAATTTAATTCAAATATACATAAATTACATAAATACAGAAAAGTCAAGAATTTTGCTCTTCAATAAATCATGTAAATGATATGTAAAATAACAACATAATTTACTGAGTAATTATAAATAGGTTGAAAAATTATCATTATCAATGTAAAGTTTTATCATACCTAAAAATATTTAAAAGATTAAAATTTTGAGGATAATTTTTTTTACGTATAGTAGCTACTTCAACAATAGTAGGTATTTGTATTTTTTTGACTATTTAAAATTTATCGATCGATTTTTTCGATTTAACTATGCGCTATTTGCGTTCGGTTATAATATAATTAATATACTTACTTTCGAGCGATTTGTTTGTTGTCGAATAAACTGTGACAATCGGCGATGACTATACGATAACCTGAACCATCATAAATTATAGTAGATCGTCTAAAAAGTTTAGATCTATATTATTATCGTGAATGTTTTTGATATACTTAAGTACCATGTTCACAGTATTAATTGTCTATCTTAACCACGGTCTCAAAAGTCTATAATTTTTTACGAATTGTCTCCCGAAGTCCCGGCTGTTAGGCTGTTATAATTATTTGGCTCTTGATAAATCCTAAAATCTTATCGTAATTAAAAAGGGTCTAGAAATAATTGCCTACCAATGGTAGGTGATAAATGATTAAGGTGATTTAGATAAAACACCTGAAATAGAATTTACTGCTTAAGATTATTCGCGGACATTTGTAACAGTTAAGTTGTAATTTATATTTCCTGAACATTGATATACGAATAAACATTAAATATATATTTATTAGTGTGATGGTAAGGAAATCAACGCTGGACAGGAAATTTGTTTGAAGTTGTTGGGTTATCAACGCATAGTTTAAATAACCGTTCTTAACGTCGAATTAAACGTACAGCTTACTCGGGCGAATTTTATTTCCCCGCATTTTTATATACCTTTGAATAATAACATTACAAACCATCTGAAGATCATTGCGGGGAGAAACTGTAGTGTGTGTATGTGCACTTAGTTTTTTTTTTTTTATAAATTTGCGTTATATCCTCTTCGAATACGGTGCCGATTGTTTGGCATCTTTTCCTCGCGAAACACCGACTCCGCCCCTAACGTGTTCAAAGCAGATTTTTAGCTTTTCGTTTCTATCCTCCTTTCATTCTCGGTACTCAGTCACCCACACCATCTCGCCCGGTCACAACCGCTCACCGCGCCGCACGCCGCTCGCGGTATAATGTACACATCTCTTGCAGACGACCTCTGCTGTACTTTTTAAACGCGCGCACGGCGTTCTCGCCGAACGTCACGTCGTCGTCATTTTAAATCTTAAACAATATTTAAATCGAAAAGCAAATCGAACGAGGACGGGAAGCGATTCGCAAACTCTAGGCAGGCAAATCACACTGCTGTGTTATGTACGTATATTATCATCATTATGGTGTCCCGTGCTCTCCGCACAATGTCGCAGGTGTTGAGGGCGTACGGGATGTCGCTGCGCGCCTGGAGCAACCAGCCGTACGTGTGGTTCGCGTTCCACTGGCTGGCCATATCGCACACGTGTTACAACCCGCTGATCTACTTCTGCATGAACACCAGGTACCGGGCAGGTTTCGTGTCGGCGCTGCGCAGCGTGCCCGGACTTGGGTACACTCGGGCCCGGCGGCACGTCGACGAGCCGACCGACACCGGGCGGCTGCGGATGCCGTCCGTGGTTTCCGTGTGACCGTTTCGCGGGCCGCGCGTCTGCGTCTCCGATATTTGTCCACCAATACTGCCCGCCCGCAACACATCACGACGTCGCACGTGTCTCCCGAAAACCTACCGAAACTACGTCCGGTGAAAACGATATTATATCATGTGCTATTATGTATAACAATATAGGTAATATTATGTATGGCGACGAGAGTGTCGTATGTATAATATACATAACACGCGGTTTGTACCTGCTGCACCAACGCTCAAATCTGACAAAATCCGTTTGTGCTGTACACTTTTTTTTCTTTTTTTAATTTTTTTATATTTTGTTTTATAAAATTATATAATATGTAACGAACACGAGATGGAAATAATAGTGTATATACTTAAGAAGTGTTTAAAGTGCTCTTGTAAGATCGTCATATTTATTGATAATACGATAACAGTTAGTTGTAATTGAATTTTATTATAAAATTTATTTAATACGTAAACCACATTATCAACACTCCATTCGTTTATTCGCGTGCACTTGGCGTGACGACGCGAGTGCCAATTGAAGGGTCCGGTGCAATAACAAGGTATCTCCACTTTTTTTCGAAATGCATGTTTTAACATATTCTAATAGTGGAAAAATTTGTCTACATTTCGGTGCAATAACGATATATCTCCGACTATTAAATACGCTAATATCATACAAAAGGAGATATCTGGTTTTAAATGTTCTGGGCAAGAACCAGGTATCTCCGGAGATACCTTGTTTATGCTCAGAAAGATGGCAACACTGTACTTTAAGCATTTTCTGGGCAAGAACCGGATATCTCCGGAGATACCTTGTTTATGCTCCGATAATGCTTCTATTTATTTATTATGTGCTCATTAATAGGTACTAATATGCTCATGATTATATTCTAAAATGAAATATCCTACCAAAGTAATTTTGTTAAGTATTTTTTTAGTCGTAAAGGATATCAAAGCTACATTAATGAATGCATAGACCAAAGTTTTACTTATATTTTGGGTCAAAAAACCAGGTATCTCCTTAAAACACATAGTTACTCAATTTAATCATTATAAAAGGTTGTGATAGGTTGGATGATTTTGATTATAGGTATAAATTACACATTATAAATGTTTTTTGAGATTATTCAATACATATGATGAAAGAGTTTCTGAGATAAAAAAAAAACAAAAAACATGGATTTTAATTTTGGGGCAAGAACCCATATATCTCCACTAAATTAAACTTGAATTAATTAATTAAAATTATTCAAATTTATTTAAAAGTAATAAGGCTTTATGGAATGTTATATATACATCCAAAGCATAAAAATCAGTTTTGGAAACAGTAACATGATGAAAGGTGGGTCAGTAAAAACATTTTTTATGTCTCCTGAACAATTTCAAAAAGTGGAGATACCTTGTTATTGCACCGGACCCTTCAATTATTGTTGTCGGGGTCTTTTTTAAGTGCTCCAGAGTGTCGATACGACTCTTTTTATACTATTGTTTTTTATTTTGTTTTAAATAAACATTTTGTCAATTTAGCATTATATTATATATTTAGTATTATAATGTAACATAATGAATATTATTGTTTGGCGGAATGCTTTTGGTTTGCAGCCGACCATATTTTATTATATTATTAATTTGTCAATATAATAGAACGACGTAGTGTCTGATGGTGTGATTTGATTTGTCTGGTAGGTATATAATATTAGTTCTCTCTCTGCTCGAGTATAGGGCTGTTATTTGGCATACCTGCCCTATCCAAGGATATAATATTATATCGAATCGAGTGAATGCAAAATAGATCTTTGAACTATACATGCAGCACATTATGTTTGGCATTTATAAGATCCAAGGATTATAATATAATCTGTTATGTTAAAAGCATGTATAGCCATACAGGTTACTATGGTTACAATACTAGTAAGTAGTAAAACTTGTGATTAAATGAACATGTATATTATTCAGAGTTCTATAGTACTGATATAGGTACATTATGTTGTATAGTATTTTGCTTTGTAAAAAAAAATAGTTATGCATTTTAGTGCTGTTCGAAATGTTTATTTGAGATGATTGTATTAGGTTATAAACATATAACAATAAAAACAGCTAATAATAATAGTTATTCTTGATTTAATTGTCTAACCACCGTACTCTCAAAGTTAATAATTAGTATTTAATTAATTTAGATGACGCTTTTCACTTGATGTGAGGTTTTATTATTGTATACGTGCTTATTGTTTCACGTCAGTATCTTTTAGACCTTATATCAATGATAGATAATAATTTTCTAGCACAGTTAGTCTCAAGATTTCATTGGCCATAATATCCTAGCGCAGTTGGTAAGACGTCAACATTTACAAGAAAAGTTTAGTACAGCATTTGTCGGAAATACTTTTATTTAGATTAAAAAATAATCATAAAATAATTCACTTGGTTTGTGTTATATTTTTATGGATAGTCATCATTTATTCGTGTATAACCGTAAAGCACACATTCCTACTGAATTCTTCACAGAAGAAAGACCCATATGTAGGAATTATATGTTTTTATTTTTTAAAGTTATTTACACATTTAATTAAGTAGATAGTAGATACTTAGATTGAAATAAAAAAAATCAATGAACATCATATGCTTTACATATAAAAAAAAGACAACACTGAGTCCTATCACTAATGTTCATGGTTACACTATTATCTACATACAATTATTAAACTTTAATAAATCATAAAGTATATCACTCATCTCTTATTAAATAATTAATGAAATGAAAGACTTTTATTTCATATATTAATGTATAAGATGTTCTATATTGAGAAGAACATTTTTCATGGTCATAAAAACTGATTGTCTAAATCCCATTTGGATAAAAACTATTAAAAGTAGTAGTAAAAATTTACAATCGTTAACACAGTCAGATCTAAACAAAAGTACCTAATAATGTTATTTATATATGTATAATTATTGTAGATATAGGTTATTTATTAGTTTTTTATTACTTATTAGTAATTATATTCTAAATTGTACAAATTAATATTACTAGACATTTTTTTGAGACAAAATTGTCTCCGATTGAATCAGAACTTGCACAAAAAAAAATCTGATGGAGGAGAGGCGGTTTGTGTATCAACATATTTTTGACTTCAAATACTATGTTAACCAACTAGAAAAAAATAACTAGAGCAATAATGACGAATGAAATTCGAAAGTAATTTTTTACTGTAAATCAAATTTATATTAAGTAAGCTTAAAAACTAAAAACTAATATATTATTATACATTTATCAATTAGGTGTAGAATTTGTTAAAACTTATAGTAAAAAATATAACTAATAATTTTAATGTAATTCGATGAAGTTTTTATATTTTATAAGTATATAAATTTAAGTACTTAATATGGATTTATGTACAGTTGTTTATAATAAAAAATGAAACATTATTTTGATAAATAACTATCTACTGTTGGTAAATATTTTTTAAGGAAAGATTTTATAGTTTCGAATGGATTTTTCGGTACTCTAAAATATGCTATACTAAATTTCGTTTTTACAATGTTGTTGATATCCATAAATTGCATGATAATCTTATTTTAAAATAATACCACACTTAAACTATTCAAGTTTAATTCGTTTTCTTTTATTTCCCTTGATAAATTGAAATAAAAAGTAAAAACTTAAATTATTTAATTATGGCTCACAAATAATTAATTTTTAAGTGGTAGATATTACTTACATATTTCGTCATACCTAGTACCTACTACTTGCTTCCATGGATGACAGATACGTGATTGATTGGTAGCTGGTAGTAAACGAAGGTTCGGAATACGAAAAAATGTTTATTAGTTTGTATTAACAGTTTAAAAAATAGATATTGGATATTTTCAATTTAAATTAATTTACATCTTAAGTCAATTGCTCACTGATATTGGAACTATTCATATTTTTTAATTCAAATGCTTTTTTTTTTTAATGGAGATTATGAAAAAAATTTTTATTTCCATTCTAAGTTAATTTTAGTTTGTAACTAAAGCAAATAGATAGTTTTGTCAAATAATTTTGACGGGAAAATATTAGTTGTCTCTTGAAGTCCAAAAGTTGAATAATTTTTATACGAATTGCCTCCCGATTATATATTAATTACCACCCGATGTACTCTAAATTTTTTCGTAAACAAAAAGGGTCTAATACTAGTTGCTAATGGGCAAGTAATAAATGTAAAAGTGGTTTCAAACATTTTCAAACATCGTGTATCAATATAAGTTTATAATTTTAAAGTCGTAATTTATGACTTTTGTTATATTTGATATGTGATTCGATTAAAACTATACGACCAAACATATTGTAATAATAATATTATACTCTAGATAATATACTCTTTTATGTAATGATTAAGATATAATTCAAATAAAACTTGAGCCAGACTATAGTAAATTTATAACGTTATCGTAAGTGATTGGGTATCATTTAGTTGATTTCCATCACTCATTCTCGTTGTACAACTTTATTTTTATTATAAAGCAATTTTAAATTTTTGAACTAGTTTTTAGAATACATCAAAATTAAGTGCAAAACATGATTAGTGAAAAGGGAAAATGTGTAAAAATAATTAAAGGTTTTAAATGTAGTTTTAAAATCAATTATTCGTCAACAAAGAATGGCAGAACTGTATGACAAAAATATGTAAACATTTTTATAAGTAGATGGAAATTACAAAGTAATATTTAACGAAAGTAAGTTGAACTATAATAATTATGTACTATCATCTAAATATGTACTTAATAGATAAGAAATTAGTATAACCTTTTAAAGAGTAAAACAGTTACTGAAATATTAATATGTAAAAGGCCTTCAAAATAATTGCATAAAGAATTAAGACAGGATAAAGTAGATACTATTATAACTATATCGATGTAAATATATAAAAAAATGTACATTGAACATGTTGTTCAATTTTTCCAAACTTACCTATCACGAGAAATGAAGACGAAAATGAACAATTTTTATTATACAATGATTTAGAAAGTGGAACTGTTTTATTTTCTAACAAAACTAATTTAGAATTCCTCGCGAAAATCGATACTTTATAAATAGATGGAATATTCCAATATTGCACCAAAAATTTTAATATATTATTTACTATTTATGGATTAATAAAATATAATTATTACATAGCTCTACTTTTTTTTTTATTAAAAGATAAATGTGAACAAACATTTATTTAATGTATTAAGTGCGATGTGCTTAAACATGGATTGTAATTTTTAGCCAAACATACTTTATATTAATTTTGAAAAAGTCATACACAATTTTATAAGATGTATATGGAAAAATATTTCTATAAAAGGATATTGATTTCACCTTGGCCCAGCTTGGTGACGTAAAATTCTGTCACTTGGATTAGCTTCGCAATACTCTTTAATAGCTATTTTGAGTCTCTGCATACTAATATATATATATATATATATATATAATAAATATTTAATAAATGTGTGTGTGTATATATATATTGCATATATGTATACAAATTTATTAAAATATTGAGAATAATCTAGATCGTGATTGAGATTGTATTATAAAAGTCAAATAAGCCTAAACCATATGCACGATTACAAACTAGAAACAAAATAATTTTAATTAATACTCAAAAAAAAAAGTTGAATGAAAAATTTATATCAAATTTTGAGTACCTACAAATAAACCTAAGCAATGTTATAAATAATTTGTTTAACATTATATTACCATATATTTATTTTGTTTTATTGACTAATAATTATAAGTAGGTATTACCACCTCTGTTATGTATTGACTTTTTATTATAAAAATATGATTTTTTTTTTTTTTATTGTTTTTTATGTAATTGTGTATCTATATTATTTGTATAAATGTTTATAAAATATATACCTAAGGCTGATATTTTTAATAATAATAAAATATTAAATAATTTAAAAAAAAAAAAAAAAAATTAAATAATTTTAAAAACAATTATTGTAAATAATTGATATGTGATTCGATATGATTTTATCTTCCAGATAGGTAATACTATAGTAGAATAATAAACTAATAGCAATTATGATGTTATTGTAATCTTAATTTTTATAGTTATAAAACAGGAGTGTACTTATATGTGTATTATAGTGAAGTTTATGAACCACTACTTAATTCTATGCGAGAGTTTGACAGCCCAAGTATCGAAAATCATTAGTCATTACTATGACGGGGTGTCATCCCCCCACCATATATCTCATTCTCCTCCGGTCATAAATCAAATGAATTTATTTACTTTAGAATGAGAAATAAAAGTAAAAATAATACAAATTTTAATTTTATGTATAATGATATAAATTTCAATTATCTCATTATATTAGAAGTTAAAACATTGTAAATTGTGATTATTACTTTCACGAGTCGTAAAAATACACATAGATACGTTGATATTAAAATGTATGAGTTTTTTTCTGTAATGAAATGTTTTTAAAAGTCATTTGATTTGTCATTAATCGTTTAATTTACTTTTCTAGTCAAGTTAATACTTATCACAAGTTGTATGTTCCAGCGGTTTTTGATTTTTTGAAGTCATAGTAAGTATTACACAGTGTTAACACGGCACCTACTGTACAACGGAACGTTAATTGCTTACCTACTTTTTAAAATTTAATTTTAATATGAGTAGAAAGTGATAATAATGAAATGGCATAGTTTCGGAAAAGTGACTAGAAAAACATTAATTTTTAATTGTGATTGGCAGAAGAGTAGGTAGTAGTAGAAGGTGGTATTTAAAATCCATCCTTATTTGTCATATTTGAGTATACACTCACACTTTTAGTGTTTACACATAAATAGTTTTATGGAACGTTTTTGCTGTAATATTGGAGACAATTTTTTAAATAGTAAACTTTTTTAATAATTATATTTTAACTGTATTTATTATCGTTGTTTTTTATATTCAAACAAAATTTTTAATCAATATATTATGCTACGCAGTTTTAAAAATACATACATTCCATCAGATTACGTAGCATAAAACTCAAGTGATGTCACATATGAGGGAAATATGCGATGTATCTAACGTACAATAAGCTTAATTAATTTAACGTAGTCGGTATAATAATTATATAGACTAGAAAATTGTTGGTTGGTTGTTTATTTTTTTTTTGAAAAAGATCAGAGGAATAAAATGGATTTGGATGTTTTAAAGTGTAGGTTTTAGGAAAAAAAATTACAATGCCATTATATTCTGTACAGTGATTAAACAGGTTTTTTATTTCTTCACATGTTATACATTTTCAAAATAACATATCCCTTTCAATACAACCGTAGTTTTTAATTATTAAAATAATATAGGAGTATTTTTTAGGTTTTCATGTAAATATACAAAACTATGACTGGTCCATAACTATAATTGTTGTGGTAAACATAAAATATGTTTTTACAAATATAATATTATAGTACATTATTTTTTAAAGAAAAAGCAACACTACGCATAAAGTTAAATTTTAATATCACCTTGCCCTGTTTGTTTTGAACCAATTTAACCATTGCACAATAACGATACAATTTATATAGATAGCATATAAGTCATACGACCGATACTTTTTGATTTGTATAAGAAAAAATAACATCACAAAATACATGTTGGATGAAAAAATGCATTTCGCGTTAACAGTAAAAATAATGATCATAATAGTAATAACAAGTAACAACTATTGAATCCAAAAACCACACACTTAAGATAAAATACAGTACAAAACCATTATATTTTTAGTAGATTAAAACTGCACACTTTTTTTATTAAGGTTGTTGTATCCAAAAACCTCAGACTTTATAATTAATTTATAATTTGGCAAAATTGATATATTTTTAAAATATAAAATTTATTATTTATAACTCATAATTATTGAAATAAATAAAAACCGTACAATATGACAAATTTACTATAGGTAATTAATGTGCCGGACTTAAAAAAATAAAAATGAAAAATACCTTTAAAATATATGGAAAAATATGGGTTTTAAATACTTAATGTTTTTTATTGATAGGCACAGAAGTACAACTTACTAATTTACTACTAATCGCAAATGAAACGCGACCTCTGCCCTGATTTTATTCATAATTATTATCGTGTTATGTTATCTGATAATATACGGTCTGTAGATTAAAAAAAGGGTGATTTATTTTAAGTTTTTATCCAACTAAAAGTATATAAAATATTTCTGTTCTCAGGCAGATTTTTAGTATTATAGGGGTACGATTGCCGTTTCTGGTATTATTTAAAGAGGTTGAACCTTTAATCCGAGAAAAATGAAAAAATGAAAACGAATGATTAATAAGTGTGTACCCGCCTACATTGGATTGCTATTTCGTTTTGTCGACGTCAGTGTTTTAAATCCACATTACTACTTCTGAAATATTTAATTTGTGTTTTAAATGTATGTTTGAATAGGTACTTACGAGAATAATGAAAAAAAGTGGAGATTTTCATTAATTTCATATAAAAACAGTTGCATATTTTATCTTTTTTTTTTTAATTTCAATTAATACAATTTACAATAGAAATCATGTTCACGTTGAAAATTAACTTTGGATGGACTCGTTTAAGCTAAAATCAGGTAAAATTGTCTAAGTTCTGTGGTTTTATATATTATCATAAACTGGAAATTAATGAGCATTTATTTTACAATTTTGCAGACACATTTATGGTTGGTTGCTCTAAAAAATCAGCGATTTGAAAATGATAAATGATTAACAAACCGCTATTTCAAGGGAGGAGGGGGCTGTCTGTAACCGTGGTAACTTTCTGCACGTCCGTTCTTCTCATACACCTGTATGATTTCCAAGTGCCGCCTGGTGTAGGCCGAACAGACCAGCATTAAGTGTACACAAAGTGTGCGGTTCATGTTTGTCGGTTGTCCGCCGGTGCGCCGTACCCGAGTCGGAATCAAAAGGCGCAGCCGGCGAAACCGCGCAGCGACAACACGCCGTTTTCGGATGTCTGGCCGTCGTCGATGATGCCGGATGAACGGTTCCGGCGCTCAGAGTCTTTCCTCGTGCCAGTTCTGGCGGCTTCGGCCGTACGTCGCGGGTCGCCCGTTGAACGACTTGAGCCGCGACTTGACCGACACGAATGACGACGTCGTGTTGATCCGGTGCAGGCCTTCCGCCTGACTGGGGTCGTTGTGGCTGTTGTAGTGGTGCGACTGGTGCTGTGTGGCCCGCAAGTAGCCGCCCAAGCACCGGCCGAACCCGGGCACGTTGCGCAGCACGGCCGCGAAACCGGCCCGGTACCGGGTGTTCATCCAGCAGTAGATCAGCGGGTTGTAGCACGTGTGCGACATGGCCAGCCAGTGGAACAGGAACCAGACGTACGGAAGGCTGCTCCACGTGCTCAGCGAAGGTTCGTGGTCCCACAGGATCTGTATTACACACACATACACACACACATACAAACACCACATACAAGTGTTGGTGATTAATTTATCGCTTAGATCATACTGCACGTTAACTTGTTTTAGTTATCGTTTATGGCCGGGGGCGGGCTACATTGTCGACGATGACGTATGGCCACACCATCGTTTATTATTGTTATCGTTGTATTATTATATACGTCTCGTCACCACAACACTTGTGTTATTATATTATTTTTTTTATAAAAATGTTTTTATCTTTAATACTTCAGAAAAAAACAAAAAACAAATATATCAAAATGCTATGGCAACCGTCTGATATAACTGGATTATCACTATATTCTTTGAGAAGCTTCAGTAGATACATAAAAATGAAAATAAAAGTAGTAGCATGCTATTGGATACATTTCCTCTGCAAGAAAATCGAGAAATTATAGATATGTTTTCGGGTACCTATAAACCATAAACCGTAAATGAATTCGTGGTTGCGAGTAGATTTTAAATTAATGTTACGATCACTGCCAACAATGATGGATTTTTAGTCGCTATAGTAACAGATTTCAATAAATAACGTTACGCGAAATCTGTTACAGTCGGGGAAAAAAAGTTGTACCCATCTCAAAAACATATCTATGTCAAAGTTGTCAACAATTTGTTATTTGTAAATTATTTATAGGTATAGAAATGATTATTGATAGTTGAAGTAATACTAGTATTATAAATCATATATATATTAATAAATATTATTTTTGTAATTCCCATTATTATTAATAATTAGTATTGTATAACATTTAATAGGTTAAGGATTATTTGTTTTTATAAAGTTTGTATACATTGTATTAATCAATAGTTTTTAGAGACTTGTCTAACAAAGATAATATTATTCATAGCGATTGTCGATAGACTATTAACGATGTAGTTTAATATTAACATAACATACAACGTAAATAACTCTATACTGCTAAAACAAATAAATTATAATAATAATAAGTATTTTATTACTATTTTGTGTTTCGTAAATACCTTTTTAACATAACCTTCAATAGTTATCAATAACTATAAATAGTACTCGGATTTTTACTAAAGAAAATTATAATATCTACATAATTTATATAATAAAAATTATACGTTATAATGTAACACAAAAAAAATATAAAATACTTTTGGGAATTTTCGTAATTATATAATTATCAATGTGATAATTTTGTTGAAATTAGAAATTAAAAGTCAATTGTAACATTTGTCTCATTATTAATTTATAGTAAAAACATTATAATTAATATAATTTATTATTGAACACAATTTATTGTTATCTCTGTATATACGGGTTGATTATTCACTCTTTATTTACCATTGGTTGCTACAGGAAGATTATAATATGTAATAACGGTGCCTTTTCATTATTGCATGAGATTTTTTTTAAGTACGAATTCACTTAATGGAACTGTTGGTATTTTGTGCACCTACTGGTTTAAAAAAATTACTAGTATGTTTGGTAATTATTTGGAATATCACGAGTACTAGTAACAAACAGATACTGCTATCACTTACCAAGTATATATTAGTATATTCTGATTATAGCTAGTTAGTAAATTGTTTTATTTTAATGTTTACTTGAACATTGTTACGCTTATTTGATTAAGTAAATAGTTTCCAAATAACTTGTATAGTTTTATATGAATAAATTATGACTAATCACCGAGATCTAAAACAATGAAAATAGTGTTTTAAGTCTCGATTTTCAATATATTCTCTAATTTTATCTTTAACGATCAAACAAATAAAATTCAATAATTAATATATTATAAAAAAAGGCTGTTCGTTGCACGATTATAAGATATTATATTGATTATAAACGCGAGGAAGTAAGGTATATCAACCAAAAAATGTTATAAAAATATATAAGTTTTATTAATGTTTAAACTAGATTTCATATTGTCTGGTTAAGTACTAAGTTTGGTTTATTATTAAGTTTATTATTATTATTTTACAGCCTTAGAAAGCGAGTTGAAGTATTTTAGGAAAAGATTCAACGCGACTGTTTCCATATCGCAGCTCTACTATAAATTACTTCCAAAATGTAGGAAAAGTAGTTCAAGTGGAAAAAATAAGAAGTCTTTGGCTAGAGTTATGAGTTCAAGTGAAACCACGTCTATAATATACTACAGTGTTCTAATATTTCAGCATCGTTTCCAGATTTGAACGTAAAATGTTTTCGTATTTCGCCGAATCTATTATCACTCTTTCTGCATCTATGTAAATCACACGAGTTTATCTATATTTTATCAAGTCCAGTAATGTAGTAAAAATATCGTATGGGCGTGTGCGCAGCGGCTTAAGTTGTCCATGACGCCGGAGGCATAAAAGCGAAAAGTGGTTGCTGGTTTGAAATCGTAACTCGGGAGCCGAAGTGTTAATGCGCGTCGGTCTTAAAGCTAAGCAAACAACGATTGAAAGAGGATTAATGGTGAGGGAGGTTTATTGTAGTTGAGAAATAAGATTTACAGGGTTTTGAATATAAGATAATAATGGGAGAGATGTCGACCGCCTAGCGTAGCACAATGCTGAATTGATATAATGGGAAATAATGTATATAGGCGGAGTCATGAAGTAATTGCATCATAAAAGTTGTTGAAATATGTGATTATTTTGTGCAACATGTAAAAAGAAGAACGTTAAAAAAATTCACTAATAAAAAACTAGTATAGTGTGAGATGAATATTTAAAATGAAATAAATGCGTTCATGAACTTGCAGATAAACGCAGTTAAGTGAGATTCGGTTCGTTTAATATTGTTTTTAAACATGGGATTGCGATAATTTGATTATACAATTAATATCTACATCAGAGGTTCTCAAACTACGGGTCGCGTTATATTTATAAATAATACATGTGTTACAATAATTCCGGTTTTTTATTACTTTTCTTGATGTTCAAATTCAGCTTCATAATAAATCGTTATCTGTGGGTGTGACAATTAATAATTTACTGCGACCGAGTCGACACAACGCAATTAAATTAATAGTTATTGAAAATGGTTGTTATCAAAACCAAATTACGGAGAAAATAGATTTTGTCAAACTCACTGCGTTTAAAGCTAACAAAGGTTGAAATGGATATCAATGCAGTAATAAACAATTACATCTTTTCACATTAAAATTATATACTTACTAATAACCAATATATATATATATATATTACTATTAAATAAATGATTATACATATCTCTAGATAAAAATTAAAAATTAAATTTACTGTCCCTAAAAATGTTTAATTTTTTGTCGTAAGCAACTGAACCACAAAATATAAAAAAAAGTCAATAATGTTATTGTGGGTCGCTAAAATTTAAATGTTTTCCAAAATTGGTCGAATCATGAAATGTTTAGGAACCTCTGATCTAAATTAATTGCATATTTAATAATTTTATTACTATTTAGATAAAATAAAACTTACTTTTTCATATACATTTTCTGCAATATACATTAAAGAATACAATTTAAATAAATAAATAAATAATAGTACAACGTGGAAATTTTTAGACTAAAAATAGTAAAATTGAAATTTTTTTTTTTTAGTTGATTGTACTTGAAAAATAAATAATATATGTACGTACATAGGTAATAACTATATGTTACGAAATTCAAAACAACTGATGCTATATTTTGTAGACACAATAATTAACAATATTTACGAAAAAATGTTATTGTTGTTATTTTTGAGTTTTTTCAAGTTTTAAATTTGTATTCTATTTAAGTTAATAAATATTTAATTATTTTTATTGATAAGCTACTCAAATTCAATTTCGATTTTCGATGATGCAAATTATCATATAGTTTATTATAGTTATTTTATAACTTTAAATTTTAATGGATATATTATAGTATATATAAGCGAGGTTGTATCAAATACGTTTTCAAATGAAATATCCAAAAAGCTAGAGGGTATAAGAAAACGAACAGAATTTTTCAAACAATGGCATTATTATGGTAAAGACGGTAAAACACAAATCCTCCGTGAAAAGTTTACATTTATGTAAATTATTTAATACCTAAGTAGATATTGGACAAAATTAATTATTGTGGTAAAATTAATCAAATTAATTTGTCACAAAGTATCTAAAGAAATGAATTAATGTAAAAGTTTTTACACTAAATAAAGAATGATTAATTTTGTAGCTTAGTAATCTCGTTATGAACGTTTTATAATTCCTTTAAAATTATTCAAAACTCTAAGTTGTTATGTAGTTGTAAAACATCTTAATTTATTGACTATTGTCATGAAATACCTTGTAAAACTGATTAGCTTACTGTAACAAATATTTAGAATTTAACAACTGCTATTTTTCAAATTTGTTACGATAAGGTTATTACACTCCTAAAACGTTTTACGTTCATCAAAGAAAATAATATATATTCATTTTCCTGGGGATTAATAATCTGCTTATAGTATTGTTAAATTCGATTTATTATACGTTTTAATACCTACATAAAATAATATAATGTAATAATAAAATATAAACACTAGGTAAATTTATCAATTTACATTGTTCTATTCCATTTATGAATCAATACATTTTAAGGTTTAATTTTTGATTAAAAAATGCATCTTTCTTATGTTTTTTGGGTTTATTTGTGAAATACTAAAATAGTTATCTATAATCTGCCATAGTGTAATGTCTTTTGAATCTTATTAATATATTTTATTGTGGTGCCATAAATGGGAGTTTGTAATTTGCACCAAATTAAAGATATGTAATTTGCACCACTGTAGGTAGCCAAAAATAGTGTTTGTAATTTGCACCAAAATCAAAATCTATTATTATAAGATAGGTATTATCGAAAGAATAATTCTACAAGTTTCGATATTTGAAAATGTTTTTACTTCATTAAAGTTCTCATCGATTTTTCAACAGATACGCATATAAAACTATCGAGTTTATATAAACCTAACCGAATGACTTCTTAAGTAATGAATGAACAAATCAAATTCAAGTTGCTTTGGTCCATTAA